CCTGTTTACAACATACTTAAAAACAATATGTCAAATATATCGCTAAGTTCCACTTGAAAGCATACTCAGATAAGATACCATTACACACATCTAAAACTAGCAGTTAAATTCAAATTTCTATCCAACTTATAATTGGAAAGCTGACTAATATCTACTTCAAGAAAATGAAGTGAAGTCTGATCGAAATCCAATTTGAAGATAAAGTCTCGCAAAGTAAACCTTGCAAACAAGTTGTAGGACAGCCGTTTTGCATGGGGTTACCTTTTTCACAGGCTTGCAAATTAGAAGAAACAACAAGCTTTCCTTATTCGATTCCCAATTAAAATCCTACTTGGGAAGGGGCAACTATTCAAATTCTAACTTAACATACTATGCCAACTTGAACGCTAACTAAGATATGATTCAACTTAAAGCGGCGCAATCTAAAGCGCGTAAACCAACAGAACTGAAACTGCATTTCCTTTGGGCTTCTATTGGCTTGTCTCTCCTTTTAAGGAGCAGGCAATTCAGAATAACCAGTAATTCAGTTCTGACGCTAAACGCTGCAACAGGAGTGACAAGCAAGATGCCAAGAGAATTGCAGCTGCACCAAGAATAAGTGACTGATAAGCGACTATGGACCAATTTTCAAGGCCCAACCCCATTCTTTACACCCCATAAGTGAGAATTACGCGCGTTGAGGCACAGCAATGTAGTATTAGATCTTGGCCTTGTCAGGGGCCGACCGGGCTTGGCGGCCGCGCTGCTTGGCCACTACCTGCCGCGTTGTTTGTCTTACATTGGCCTGCGGCCGTCATTGTGTGTAGCGTCGGCGTACCACTGCTAGCTTTACTAAGACCAGCCGCAGGAGTTACTGACAAGATACACTGATTATCGAAACTTGCCGGAACTTGTAGCTGTCTAAGATCATTTAGCGACCACTTATAGCAATATATCGGAAGTTACTTTGTGCTTCTGACTTACTTTTTGATAAAAAAGAAAAGTTAGTAACACTTAGGAAAAGTCATAAGAACTTACAAAAAGTTACGGAAAGTTACCGGCGACTCACTAACAGCATTTTTTGGTAGCCCGTACTCGCGCAAACAGTGAATGTTCTCACACTAAGCAAGGCATGCAGACGCGCTTCGCTCAACAATTCTAGACGAACAAGGGGATGAAATTCAATGTCCAAAAGGGTTCTGGATATTGAATATCCCCTGGTCTCTCTGGGGATATCAATCGCAAATTTGGGCACGTTCTTTTTTCAATGGCGCCATTTGTTTCTTCAAACTTTTTTGAGAATCCTTCTGAACTCTTAGTATCGGGAACCGATTTTTCTCAATCTAATCAGAACTTTTCTGAACTCCCGAAATGGGAAAGTGCATCGAGAAAGACCTGAACAGATATTTTTTCTAGGATCGTTCTGAAGCTATTCTCCTCAAAAATGTGTTAGGAAAAACCTGAATTCAAATTTTCGAATTTAATCAGAACTTTTATGAACTCCACAAAAGGAACAACGTAATGAGAAAGACCTGACTCCGAATATTTCAGGTTTTTTGAATTTGTTCAGATTTATCCTGTTTTTGCTAGTTTTCCAATTTTTCTGAACTCCTCAAGAGGAAAACCGCATTGTGAAAACCGTGAATTCAGAGTTTTCTGAGTTTGCTCAGAATTTACTGAACTCCTTAAAACGAGAAATGCATTGGGAAAGACCTGACTTCAATTGTTTGATGAATGTGTCACGTATCGTTCCTACTGCAAGGCTGCAACGCGCCCCCTACGGTGATCAATTTGCTGCGCACGTGGGGTGAGGTGATCACCTTTATGCGTGCACGCTCCCGACCCATGCCGCCAGAGGTGGTCGACCTTGATGTGTTCCTCCATGAAGGCACGCGCCGGCCCGAGCTACCCAAGCGCTACGCTGGCTGACCAAGCAGGCGAGGGTGGACCTGGGCTCAGGCCGGGACAGGCGCGGCGAGTGGGGCCCAGAGGGCGAGGGCAGGCTGCGGCGGTGGAGCCCGTGATGTTGCTGAGGATGGAGCAGCGCATGGAGGAGCTCTACATGCAGGGAGGTGATCGCTGGCAGGCTTTTGCTCTGCTATACGACACGGACAGCGGCAGACGAAGGAGGGGGGGCCTCGTTTGGGAGAACCCATGGAGGAGCTTGCGCGGCACCTCCCAGGAGCAGGCGATGACGGAGTCCGGGTTGTGGAAGGACACGCAGCAGTCGGCCTGTGTTCGGGGCTTGGAGCATGTCTCAGGCACAACTTTCAGGAGATCGAGGATTGGCCGCCTTTGACGCGCCATCAGACTCATCATCCCCAAGAGTGGGAGCCGCAGGAGGGCTCTGGAGGCAGACAAGGCGGAGTACACAGCTGCCCTGGCGTTTGGCATCGCGGCGGCGGCCTCCTGGTGGGCGGCTCAGGCAGGAAACGCGCGCCTCGGGGTCCCACGGATGCCAGCTATCAAGACGGTGGGTCGCTGGGAGCAATGGCTGGCGTTCGATGGACGGGCCCTTCGGTGGCACCTATGGTTGATGCCCCCTCAACAGCCACCGTGCCGCAGCGAGCGGCGATCTACTAGGATGGGACTCTTTCTAGGGACGTAGTGTACGTTGGAAGAGGACACCACAGCCATCGGATTGCGGCTTCGGACTGGACTGGAGATGCGTGTGGGTGCCGGGGCGCTGCTCGTGGGACTCCGCTTCCCCACGACCGAGGACCCCACCAACCAATCCCCGTTTACCGACTTTGTGGAGTGGCGGCATGAGCAGCAGTTGGATGCCAGTCTGATACCTTCTTGCTGGAGCAGTCGCAGAAGGACGCGGATCGAGGATTCTGCACTCCCCCACTCTCCCTCTCTGAGCTGCAGCGCGAGCTCCAAGGCCAAGAGTTCCGACTCATCCCCACTCAGGTAAGCAGAGAGTGATTGACAACGCGGACACAGGGGGACAATCCCTCCTCTCATCGGATGCCAATAAATTGGCCCTCTGTTCTCCCCTGCGGCCAGCAGCACATTGCGGCGGTGATGCAGCGTATCAGCTCCCGTCGGCCTGCCTACCGCCACTCCCCCATGAGCAGCGAGGGTTGAGTTGTTGGAAGCTGTGTTTGCTACCCAGCTGGCACCGTGTGAGCGTTTCGTGATTGCTTCTGACGCAGCTTTGGAGAGCCCACGTCAGGGGACGGGAGGGCGGACCAACCACTTTACCGAGCGGGGAAGCCTTCGTTGCGGACATCCCAGTTGAGCTGTACGATCTGTGGACTCCGGGACCGGAAGATCGCTCAATTGGAACTGTCCATGGTGTTGTACGCCCTCCTCTGCCAGTCGGAAACATTCCGCAATCGGCGGGGGCTGTGGTATATTGACAACACCGCAGCCCTCATGTGCCTGATCCGCCCCGCCAACCGAGCGTAGAGGATCCCCCAGAGAGACCAAATGGCTGAAGCATTCCTCGCAGATGGGCCGCTCGTGAACGACGTGTCGTGTGAGGGCCCCACAACGCATGCAGGGCGTTCACCCGCTGCAAAACCGGCGAGCCACTGGCTCAGAACCCCTTCCTGCCACCTCCTCCAAGCCCAAAAGACGGCTTCCCGATCGAGGCCGGCCAGCTCCACAAAGCTGATGAATCTGGCGGGATACTCAGCGGGATCCACTGGCGAGCAGCTCTGGCGGGATACTCGGCGGGATCCACTGGCGAGCCGCTCTGGCGGGATACTCGGCTGGATCCACTGGCAAGGCGCTCTGGCGGGATACTCGGCGGGATCCACTGGCGAGCAGCTCTGGCGGGATACTCTGCGACCGTTTGGCTCAAGGATCTTTGATTGTCACTTTAATACACGTACAGGCCGAGAAAAGGGATTGCTTGCGGACCGCTTACAGGTTTTACCCACAAGACAATCCTACCAAGGACTTCCGTATACACTCCATAATATTGGACCATCGTGTGGAATAGATCGAGGGACCTACAATAGACAATTACCACAAGGTACTTGTTCCCACGAGATAAGGTACCCCGGTTTCGCACTTCACCCCCCCCCCACAGCGGCACACTGCTGAAACGTGCAAATTCGGTGGGGTCGCTAATGCGGACGATAGCTCAAACAGCGCCCCCCACAGCATCCCAAAGCAACACCTGAGCCAGCAACCCAAACTGCACGCCCCCTAGCACCCAGCCGTCAATCTCGCAAATCATGTTCCCTTCTATATTGGAAGTTAGAACCCCTATAGCTTTCAGCTATCTGGGGGAAACAAAACGAGCAAAGTGGAGGTTTTAACAAATGACCCATAATCCCTTGACAACCCTGTCCGACGCAGAGAGAAACTGAGAGAAAACACTACGTGTCTAGCATGTGTTATCTTGGCACCATGCCAACTTTAGCCTTACACACCAGCCCGCAGGAAAGCTAAGTACGTAATTGCGCCAATTGCTTTGGGAAACTGAACATCCGTCTAAACTGCCTCGGATGGCGCCGCAACAGCTGTCAAGACTAAATATGACATAGCAGCTAAGTATTTTTGCAACCACTCCAATACACTGTATTTAAGGACATGCTTTGCAAAGAGAAAGCCCAAAACAGATTGTAGAGCAGAGATAAGAGTCCAAATGGTAAACGCCACCCTGGATTTCCACCTCGCCGCTGCGAACCTTCTCCCGGATGGAAGAACTGTACTTCAACAGGAAGTCGATGGTGTGGAACACGTTCACTCGCACCGCATATGCGGCCACATCCTCTGCGTTGCGGTGGGCACCCATGTCAGCGACCGCTTTCTCTGCAACAGGGGCCAAGTCCAACAGAAGGCCCTCGAGCGCCGAGTTGACGCTGCCTGGGCCCTTCTTCTTTGCCTCCAGGTATGCATTCGCAGCACCATACACGGCCCCACACTTCGTGTGTCCCAACACCAGGATCATTCGAGCGCCGAGCTTGCCCGTGCAGAACTCCAAGCTGCCCACCATGCTTCCTTCGGCGTGCGTGCAGGTGTTGCCCGCATTGCGCAGCACGAAGATGTCGCCGGGCAGAGCGTCAAACACGGTCTCGATGGGCGCCCGGGAATCCGCGCACCCGAAGATGGCCGTGTGGGGCGCCTGACCCAGGTCCACCAGCTCCTGATTTCATGGCCGCATGCAGCACCGGACTTCAAAGAACCAACAACTCTGATTGGGCCCTTGCTACCTCGAAACGAGCAGTTTGTGTAACCGAGTGCACACTTTCATAGTTTAATCAACTGTTTGCAGGCACAAAATCGTGAGCATTGGGTTTCAGAACGATTGTGACCCCTTCTTGCCCAACAAAGTGCTTGGACACGTCCGGCCGTGGACCGGATTCTCGAAACATTCTCGCACCATCTAACGCCTGCACGCCTTCCAATCCAGGGCTTTGCCATTTCTCACTGCCCTCCTGGCGCATGGCCGCGTTGGTTCGCGTGGCCTGCGGCTCGCCCCGCACGAAGCGGGCGTTGCCCTCCTTCAGCAGCCGAATTGCCTCCTGCGGCGGCATAGGCGCGTCTGCAGCCGTGCGCACGCGCGTGCCTCGGATGTGGCTCGAGCGAGTGGGACTGTGCCCATTCCTGTCTTCCATGGACTTCTTCAAGTGCCTGCTTTTGATGCACAAACCATTTTACAAGGCTTGATGAATGCGATTGGTGTTCTGAGTTGCGGCATCCTGTGTGGTTGTTGCTTCTTCGCATGGGTTTCGCGGGAAAATAGAATGCTCCTAGGCAGTCGACTCCATCAACTGAGTGGAAGTATGACCTGACAACTTCCATCTGCCGCGGCTGCCAGCTGCAACAGGCCAAGCATGACAAAACCCGCCTGAAGATGCTTGGCCAGGGACTCCCACCAAACATATTCGGGGGTGATTTGTCCCATTTGATGTGGTCCAATTTTTGGAAGCCGGCCATGCATTCAAGGAGCCCGCGTTTGGAGAGCGGATCTGACTGGCCGGCGCCGCAGTAGATCGCCGCGCCGAGAATTGCTGAGGGAGCTGAGGATGCGGTTGCTGAGGGTACTGGTAGGCCGAGTTGCCAACAGCCCCACTCCTCACCTGGATCGGGTAGGTCGAGTAAGCCGGATAGCCCGCGGCCGGGTGGATAACTGGCTGGGCTGCTCGGGGGGCCGGGTGGGCCGCATAGCCTGGCATCTGACCCTGGACTGCGTAGCCAGAGAAGGCCATGGCGGAGGCGATTGGAGAGGATGAAAGAACTGAAAACTGCGTGGCTGCAAGAAACAACCGGAAACTTGCTCGGCCACCATCATGCCTCAACATGTCTAAGGACCTTGGCTGGTTCGGGCAGAGGGCGCCTTTTTTCCAACTCATTCAAGCATCCAAGTTCTCAGCCGTCGCCCACTTCTTCACAATGTTCGCTTGTTGAGGGCTCGGGCCGAGGAATTCCACCTGACCGGTCTGGAAGTCGAAGAGGCCACCGTGGACCTCCACCTCACCCTTCTGGACCTTGGTCATTCCGCCGAACAAGGCACGAGCTCCGGCATTCTTTGTTCATCTTTGTTACATGCTCCTTCCATGTTCCCCACAATGCGGAGCCCAAAACCTGGCCAAAGAACTCGACGAAAGCGATGGTTGCCAGGCGTTTTTTAGTGATCCTCGATGACGACCAATCAGTTGCCATTGAAACGAACACGTGCGTTGGGCTCTTGGATCGCTTACCGACTGTGGGTCGCTTACTGTCGCTTGGGACCCCAAGAAACCGCTCGTTTTACGAGTTCCTGAAAACCTCCCTTCAGCTCCTCCCGCCATAATCCAGCATGGCGGCCTTGACGCGGAGGAATGAGCTGTGCTTCAAAACCGAATCGATGGTGTGAAAGACGTTCCTCAGAATGCACAACGCGCATCTAAGTTTGGTCGTTTGATGTGTGGGCCTATGCGAGCCTTTCCTGTCTGCACCAGAGAGTATTCCCTGATTTCTCATCTCTAAACAATGCCGCTGGACAGGTATCCGTGTGTCTGGTTGGTTGGTTGATTGGTTAATTCGTTGGCGCATTACATCTACAAGCCACATAAATTAAACAACTTCTGACCTCACAAAGTAACACTGAAAGAACCTCTCCGAATTTATCCGCAAGACCCAGCTACCCACAAAGCAAACGAGTCATTCCAACCCGCTAAAAAAGAGGAACCATGTTCGAATCTAAGGCCATTCCCAATCTTCCAGCTTCGCGTCATCTTCACCGCGTGTGACACGATAGCCTCCTCATCGGCCGAAGTGCCCAGCTCGGCCACTGCCTTGGAGGCGATGTGGCTAAGGCGCTTCAGCAGCACGTTCAGGCTCTTGCTCACCTGGCCAAAGTGACGCCAGGCGATTGGCTGATTGGCTGGTCAGGTTTTGGGACGCAAAATCCTGACGATCCAAAACAGGACGCCGCTTCAGGGGATTCAAATCGTTGGCTCATCTGCAAGTTTGCAAAGAGATTGGGCTCGCCGATCTTCAATTCCCATCACTTGCCATTTTCAGCCTTTGACGCGCATGCCCGCACCAGGATAGCGTGTTCTGCCCATGCCCTCTACACGCAAGCCACCTGTAAAAGGCCCGCTGGCAAAAGCAAGAGAGGGGCCTGGAATGAGGACAGTTGCTTAGCCGCTGGTTCAGTCTGGTTTCCCAAAAGACTTTGTAGTGCCGGAAGTGGGCAAACACCTGGAAGCCATTTGGAGAAGGCACGGGGGACAGTCTCGTGCGATAGTTTTGCTGACTCGGTTCAATCTTAACCCGGTCAACAAGCCAAGCCGCCCTCCCAGGTGACACATCCCATTTAGCAATGCCAATTTTGCTATCGTTCATTCAACTCCACCCACTAGAATTAATACTTGGTAACTATTGCTTCTTGGAAACTCATTGGAAACTATTGGCTCTGGTGACCGGTGCATTCCTTTCCCACTTCACAGTTCGACGCTAGACTCTTGCGGCTCACTGTTAACTTCTACGCAAATGCAAAATAAAGGGTGACCATGACTAGCCCGGACACTAGTCACTTGTATGACTGCCCACAAAATGAGCAGAAGAATCTCAAGCCCGGCGATTTTGGAAGCTGAAACAAGTACAAAACCACCCTCAAAGCCCAGTGTGACTCGGCATGAACCAGTTTCTAAGATGCGTTTTGAAGCCGCTGATGTGTGGCTGCAGGTCGGTCCATCCTGCCTGCTCTTCCTGCTGATGAGGGTGCAACAGGGCCTGCGTGGCTTTCTTGATGGCCCCGCAGTGCTTGTGCCCAATCACCATGATGTTCCTGGTATTGATCGCGTTGACACAGAACTCCAAGCTGCCAATCATGCTGCACTCGGCACTCGAGCAGGTATTGCCCACGTTGCGCAGCACGAAGAGATCTCCGGGCAAGGCGTCAAACACGGTGTCAACGGGGGCGCGCATGTCCGCACAGCCGATGACCGCTGTGTGAGGTGCCTCACCTGCGCGATCAAGCTGCATCTGCTCCTGAAAGTCAAGGGTTTATTGTGCACCGTTTGCTAAACACTGCGCTGCTGTCCATGTTCTTGCTTGTCTTCTGCCCAATTCTCAAGCAGTGTGGCAAACCAATGCCCTGTTTTGCGGCACAATTTGCATGAAGTCCATACTTGCTTCCCCTTGCAGGGGATGAATTCAGGGAAAAGTGGAGGGAAAGCTCAACTTGCCAAACTCCCGAACTGAGAAGCTGCCTCCGACTCCCCGCCCTTTTGGTCCTGGTGAATGTTCTGGCCGCGGGCAGCGCGCGCCTCGCCCCTCGCGAAGCGCTGGTTGCCCTCCTTCAGCAACCGCAGGGCCTCTTGGGGTGGCAGCGGTGCATCTCCCACCATGCGCACCTTGCGGCCTCGGCGCGGAAGCGACCTGCGTTGAGCTCTGAGAGGCTCCACTTTAGAAGGCCTTTGTGTATCCATGTCGATTCACATGCTTTTGTTGTACACGCTTCTCTTCTTATGTCTTCGTAAACATGTCAGCGTGTACGACACAGCGGTGAGTGCTCCCCAGTTCATTGGGGTACAAATCCTTCAGGCCTTTAGTACGGTAGGTGGTTTCGGGCGGCCCGACTTGAATCGGCATACCTTCAACTCGCTTGCAGTTTGCCTCTGAAAATTGTGCGGCTTGTTGCTTGCAAAAGTCACACTCAAAAAGGTTGTGTACCTAGAGGGCAGAGCGTTGCGAGCATGCAGGCTACAGGGACCGCGCGAATGCTACGCCTATGTCACCTCTCTATGTCCCCTCTGTGCACCAAATCAAAATGGAAACACTGCCCAAGAAACTTCAAGCTGAAGTCATGCTTCATCACAAATAACGATGGAGCGGCAACTCGTTGGGATCGCCTTTGGAAGGCACGATGTAGGATGGTTGCTCACGTCGTCCGCCCTTCTGCCTTCCCAACTATCACAATGGAACGTTGGTCAACATTCAGCAAGCAAATCACCCGTCGTTTGCCGGCTTGTTCTAGCACCATAATTCAACCCTAAACGTGATTGGAAAATTATGATCAGACGGTAAATCACACGATACAAACGCTCAAATAGTCACCTTTTTTGCGAGTCAAGAGCTTGCTACTTGCTTACATTCTTCAGAAGGCATGCATTGAGGCAACCAGTCCCTAAAGGAGTGTCAATTTTCTGGCCGCTACTTTAGCAGTTGGCTATGATTAACGTCGAAGAACTTGGAATACCGGATCCCGCGTATGATATTAATGCTTCTGGCTGAATCGACATCTTCATGCCAGCGCTCGAACAGCATCAGTAGCAGTCAGTCGGTCAATGGGATCAAAAGAAAATGTGCTTGTCACCACGTCAACAGTCAGGTAATTATGTAAATAATTGTGATATACGTATGTGAGCATATGCAAATGAACCAGCAACCACCAATAGACCAAGCAGTGACCAACTCCGAAAAGGCACTTGGTGAGGTAGGCTGGGTCTTTGCACTTGGCGAGCTTGCGGCGGATAGTATGGCCGACGATGGCCGCTGAGAATAGACACCGCTTGCTGCCGGCACCGCATGCACGCCGTTCGAAACCTGCGAGATCCGGGCAGGACGAATGACCTGGCTGCCCGACTGGACCGGAGTTGTCGAAGGCATTACTCGGTAGCCTGGAAGGCCGTTCGCCTGTCCGGGACTCATCACCGTTTGGGGATAGGTCGGATAGGTCGGGTAGGCGGGCCGCTGTTGCACAGCATATGCGCCATTGGCGGCCATTACGCAAAGGCAAGTGAAGCTAGATGCATCACACGGACCGCATGGCTGCGGCCAAGCTTGCTTGCCCAACATCCATGCTTGGTTGCTTGGCGCTCAAGAGATCAAACGAGCACTGATTGGCACTGGAAATGGCCTGAAGAATTATGATATAACAGCAAGCATATCGTAGGTAGTAGCTATGTTTGTCTTTCGTTCTTAAACAACTGTTTGCATGACTCGACATTCAAGTGTATCAAACTGGATGCTGCCGCACGGTTGCCCGCCTCTTTGGCGCCACGCGCGACTTGGAAGCATGGAAGCTGGGTATCTGGGGCCTGTCGTGCTAAATTGACTGCACGTCTGTGCAGACCGGCAAGCAGGCAACCAGGTGCCGCTATTTTGCGGCACAATAAGAATTGTTAAAATGGAGGAGAGAGCTGCAGCGAAGCTCATCATCGCTGGCTCAACTTCTACCTCGCCATAAATTAAGAAAATTGGCTATACCAGCAAGCGTTGCCTGCCGGGAAAAATGAAAAAAAGCATAGAACAGCCTCTGTCTCATGCAAGCTCGTGTAGTGGGGAAAGCGGTAAAGCACATAAAGCGACTGTGGTCGCGGCCGTGACCATGCGACTCGAGGATCTCATGCGAGAGAAGGCGGCAACGCAGCAGCCCACTTCTTCACAATGGTCGCCTGTGCGGGACTCTGGCCCAAGAAATCCACACGACCAGTCTCCAGGTCGTAGATGCCACCCTGGATCTCCACCTCGCCCGCGAGAACCTCAAGTTGCCAGGGCGGGCAAATGTTATCAAGAGATCCGATAGACATAGTTGATCACAAGTCTGACAGGGCTTGTGCTGCCATACTACCAGGCATGACTGGCGCTCTCTGATCCCCGTCCCTCTTCCAGACTAAACAAAAGCAGTATCCGAGCGGCCTTGCCCCGGATCAGCGTGCTGTACTTCAAGATGAACTCAATGGTGTGGAAGACGTTCCTGGAAACACAACAACACACGTGTTCAGCCTTGAAGCGGGAACCTTTGTGAAGTTAAGGAAAGGAAGCAGACTGGAGAACGGAACTGATCTTCAGCTTCGGAGCAGTTTCACTGAGTGCGAGGCGATCGCATCCTCGCTGGCATCTGATCCCAACTCACCCGCAGCCTTGGAGGCGACCACGCTGAGCCCTTCCAGAAGAGCGTCCAAAGCTTTGTTCACCTGTTGCAACAGCAACAGGCGCTCAAGACAACCAATTCTGTGAAAATATGTCAAAGGCGCGAAGAGCGTCTCCCCGAAAAAAGATCAGAACTCGTTGAAAGGACATCACGTGGAAACACTGTAAAGTACTAGTGAAAGAGGCGAGATTTGAGCAAAGAAACCGCCGAATCCTAAACTGCAAGCAAGGGGTGATAGACAACCTAAGCTGTTTCAGATGACCTCTAAAAGCAATCAATACTACAACATCTGCATCTCTTCCGAACATATTAAGGCATATCATATCACTCCAAACCTAGCGCCAGAGACACAAACTACCCAGCACTGCCATACAGAATCACACAGACTGACGGATTCCTGGTATGCGCGTGGTGTGTGTGTGTGTGTTGAAAATAAAATCTACGCATCCAAATCTTGTTTGGCAACTAGAAACGCAAGAGCTCGGCAGCACCCCTGCACATGGCATCAGCCACCCCTGCCTGAGACTTGCCGCTCTGGGCCTGCAGCATGGTCTTGGTGGCTCCCTTGATGGCACCGCAGGCGGTGTGCCCAAGCACCATGACCATCTTGGTGTTCAGGGCGCCGATGCAGAACTCCAAGCTGCCCAGGACGCTGCCCTCTGCGTGCGTGCAGGTGTTTCCGGCGTTGCGCAGCACGAAGAGATCGCCCGGCATGGAGTCGAACACGGTCTCCAGGGGCGCCCGCGAGTCCGCGCATCCGATGATGGCGCTGTGGGGCGCCTGGCCTTCCTTGACCAGGGCCTTGCGCATCTCGGAGGTGACCTTGCCCGAGAGGCCGGCGCCCGCGACGAAGCGCTGGTTGCCCTCCTTGAGCAGCTGCAGCGCCTGCGGGTGCGGCAGTGGGCCGTCTGTGGTGGTGCGGATGGGCAGCGCCGCCAGGGAAGGCGGCAGCGACGTGTCGGAGCTCAGCAGCTGCTTCTGGTTGGGCGTGCGCCCCAGGAACTCCACGCGGCCCGTCTCTAGGTGGTACACGCCGCCCTGGATCTCGAGGTCGCCGCTCTTCACCAGGTCCCTCAGCGGCTGCGAGTACTTCAGCAGGAACTCCATGGACGTGAACACGTTCACCTTTACGGCGTGGGAGATCAGCTGCTTCTCCTCCGCACTCACACCCAGCTCGTCTTCCGCCTTCTTGGCCACGCTGCACAATCCTTGCAGAAGACCCTCAAGCGCGCAGCCCGCCGCTTTGGACCCGTCCTTGCTGCCGAGGTAGGTCTTGGTGGCACCTGCGATGGCGCCACACTGCGTGTGCCCCAAAACCAGCACCAGCTTGGATCCCAGCTTGCCTGTGCAAAACTCCAAGCTGCCCACCATGCTTCCTTCGGCGTGCGTACAGGTGTTGCCCGCATTCCTCAGCACGAAAAGGTCGCCCGGCATAGCGTCGAAGAGGGTCTCGATGGGCGCCCGCGAGTCCGCGCAGCCCATGATGGCCGCATGCGGCGCCTGGCCGTGGTTCACCAGGGCCTCGCGCATCTTCATGCTGGCGTGCTTGGCCAGCGGCGCGCCCACGGCAAAGCGCTCGTTGCCCTCCTTCAGCATCTTCAGCGCTGCCTCTGCCGGCACGGCGCTGTCTGCAGCAGTGCGCACGCCATGCACGCCCCGGGCCGGAGGGCCGTAGGCAGAGACCCGGCCACCGGCCTCCGTCATGGAGGGCGGCAGCGGCATGGTGGATTGCATCAGCTGGGATTGCTGCGGCGAGCGGCCCATGAATTCCACCTTGCCCGAGTCCTCAGCTCGACTCTCTGGCAGGTTTTTTTTACTACAGACGGCGTGACGGCACAGCCAAAAACAAAACAGACTGCGGCTATCAAAGCTAAGAGTCCAAATGGTAAACGCCACCCTGGATTTCCACCTCGCCGCTGCGAACCTTCTCCCGGATGGAAGAACTGTACTTCAACAGGAAGTCGATGGTGTGGAACACGTTCACTCGCACCGCATATGCGGCCACATCCTCTGCGTTGCTATGGGCACCCATGTCAGCGACCGCTTTCTCTGCAACAGGGGCCAAGTCCAACAGAAGGCCCTCAAGCGCCGAGTTGACGCTGCCTGGGCCCTTCTTCTTTGCCTCCAGGTATGCATTCGCAGCACCGTACACGGCCCCACACTTAGTGTGTCCCAACACCAGGATCATTCGAGCGCCGAGCTTGCCCGTGCAGAACTCCAAGCTGCCCACCATGCTTCCTTCGGCGTGCGTGCAGGTGTTGCCCGCATTGCGCAGCACGAAGATGTCGCCGGGCAGAGCGTCAAACACGGTCTCGATGGGCGCCCGGGAATCCGCGCACCCGAAGATGGCCGTGTGGGGCGCCTGACCCAGGTCCACCAGCTCCTGAAAGCGATGCAAATGCAGACCAACGGCCACATGAGGGCTTGGTGCACAAACATGCGCAGCTGTCCCCTAGAAAATAGGGTTCCTGGTGTCATCTCTCAATGCCCTCCTGGCGCATGGTCGCGTTGGTTCGCGTGGCCTGCGGCTCGCCCCGCACGAAGCGGCCGTTGCCCTCCTTCAGCAGCCGAATTGCCTCCTGCGGCGGCACAGTCGCGTCCGCAGCCGTGCGCACGCGCGTGCCTCAGAGTGAGGCCGTGAGGCAGGGATCCGCCATGAACTTCAAAACGTCAAGACAACTGAAAACACGATGGTGCCAAAAAACGGACATCCGACAGTCAACTCGACACTGCAAGCCAGGCACTCGCCGAGGTCGAGGGCACCGGCTGGACCTTCTGGACCTTCTGGACCTGTGGGGCCTGCTGGACCTGCTGGACCTGCTGGACCTGCTGGACCGGCTGCCTCACCTGGACCGGCATCTGGGAGCCGACGAAGCTGCCGGACAAGGAGCTCGACACTCTGACGGGGCGAGCCACAGGGGCCGGCATGTTCCAGGCGCCCGGTGCCTGGCCCACCACCTGGTAGCCTGGGTGGCTTGGAGCACTCGCCTGGGGATACACCGGCACCTGTCGTGCGCCTTGCACTGTGTAACCGTTGAAGGCCATGGCGGGCGGGCTGTCGGGAGTTCGAGACAAAGGCTGTATGGCTGCAAGCAAGACCAAGGCATCATCAACAACGAGTTCTGCCGGAAATTCCCTTCTGCATGATCCTGCAGGTGGCTCGTGAGACTTGCAGTGGCCCATCCGAACATTTGCTGGCGCTGAAAATGGCATGAAGCTATGCACGTGCACAGAAAATGAAAAGTGACTTGCTCGCATGACTTGGCACCCAACTGCATCCGGCACCCTGCATGCTGTTCTTTGCGGCACGCGCGACTTGGAAGCATGGGAGGTTAGGTATCTGGAGCCTGTCGTGCTAAATTGACCGCACGTCTGGGCACAGGCAGGCAACCAGGTGCCGCTATTTTGCGGCACAATAAAGAAATTGTGTTACGCTGGCTCAACTTCTACCTCGCCATAAATTAAGAAAATTGCCTATACCAGCAAGCATTGCCTACCGGGAAAAATGAAAAAAACAAAAAGCATAGAACAGCCTCTGTCTCATGCAAGCTCATGTAGTGGGGAAACGGTAAAGCACGGTAAAGCGGCTGTGGTCACGGCCGCGACCATGCGACGCGAGGATCTCATGCGAGAGAAGGCGGCAACGCAGCAGCCCACTTCTTCACAATGGTCGCCTGTGCAGGACTCTGGCCCAAGAAATCCACACGACCAGTCTCCAGGTCGTAGATGCCACCCTGGATCTCCACCTCGCCCGCGAGAACCTCAAGTTGCCAGGGCGGGCAAATGTTAGCAAGAGATCCGATAAACATAGTTGATCACAAGTCTGACAGGGCTTGTGCTGCCATACTACCAGGCACGACTGGCGCTCTCTGATCCCCGTCCCTCTTCCAGACTAAACAAAAGCAGTATCCGAGCGGCCTTGCCCCGGATCAGCGTGCTGTACTTCAAGATGAACTCAATCGTGTGGAAGACGTTCCTGGAAGCACAACAACACAGGTGTTCAGCCTTGAAGCGGGAACCTTTGTGAAGTTAAGGAAAGGAAGCAGACTGGAGAACGGAACTGATCTTCAGCTTCGGAGCAGTTTCACTGAGTGCGAGGCGATCGCATCCTCGCTGGCATCTGATCCCAACTCACCCGCAGCCTTGGAGGCGACCACGCTGAGCCCTTCCAGAAGAGCGTCCAAAGCTTTGTTCACCTGAGGCAACAGCAACAGGCGCTCAAGACAACCAATTCTGTGAAAATATGTCAAAGGCGCGAAGAGCGTCTCCCCGAAAAAAGATCAGAACTCGTTGAAAGGACATCACGTGGAAACACTGTAAAGTACTAGTGAAAGAGGCGAGATTTGAGCAAAGAAACCGCCGAATCCTAAACTGCAAGCAAGGGGTGATAGACAACCTAAGCTGTTTCAGATGACCTCTAAAAGCAATCAATACTACAACATCTGCATCTCTTCCGAACATATTCAGGCATATCATATCACTCCAAACCTAGCGCCAGAGACACAAACTATCCAGCACTGCCATACAGAATCACACAGACTGACGGATTCCTGGTATGCGCGTGGTGTGTGTGTGTGTTGAAAATAAAATCTACGCATCCAAATCTTGTTTGGCAACTAGAAACGCAAGAGCTCGGCAGCACCCCTGCACATGGCATCAGCCACCCCTGCCTGAGACTTGCCGCTCTGGGCCTGCAGCATGGTCTTGGTGGCTCCCTTGATGGCACCGCAGGCGGTGTGCCCAAGCACCATGACCATCTTGGTGTTCAGGGCGCCGATGCAGAACTCCAAGCTGCCCAGGACGCTGCCCTCTGCGTGCGTGCAGGTGTTTCCGGCGTTGCGCAGCACGAAGAGATCGCCCGGCATGGAGTCGAACACGGTCTCCAGGGGCGCCCGCGAGTCCGCGCATCCGATGATGGCGCTGTGGGGCGCCTGGCCTTCCTTGACCAGGGCCTTGCGCATCTCGGAGGTGACCTTGCCCGAGAGGCCGGCGCCCGCGACGAAGCGCTGGTTGCCCTCCTTGAGCAGCTGCAGCGCCTGCGGGTGCGGCAGTGGGCCGTCTGTGGTGGTGCGGATTGGCAGCGCCGCCAGGGAAGGCGGCAGCGACGTGTCGGAGCTCAGCAGCTGCTTCTGGTTGGGCGTGCGCCCCAGGAACTCCACGCGGCCCGTCTCTAGGTGGTACACGCCGCCCTGGATCTCGAGGTCGCCGCTCTTCACCAGGTCCCTCAGCGGCTGCGAGTACTTCAGCAGGAACTCCATGGACGTGAACACGTTCACCTTTACGGCGTGGGAGATCAGCTGCTTCTCCTCCGCACTCACACCCAGCTCGTCTTCCGCCTTCTTGGCCACGCTGCACAATCCTTGCAGAAGACCCTCAAGCGCGCAGCCCGCCGCTTTGGACCCGTCCTTGCTGCCGAGGTAGGTCTTGGTGGCACCTGCGATGGCGCCACACTGCGTGTGCCCCAAAACCAGCACCAGCTTGGATCCCAGCTTGCCTGTGCAAAACTCCAAGCTGCCCACCATGCTTCCTTCGGCGTGCGTACAGGTGTTGCCCGCATTCCTCAGCACGAAAAGGTCGCCCGGCATAGCGTCGAAGAGGGTCTCGATGGGCGCCCGCGAGTCCGCGCAGCCCATGATGGCCGCATGCGGCGCCTGGCCGTGGTTCACCAGGGCCTCGCGCATCTTCATGCTGGCGTGCTTGGCCAGCGGCGCGCCCACGGCAAAGCGCTCGTTGCCCTCCTTCAGCATCTTCAGCGCTGCCTCTGCCGGCACGGCGCTGTCTGCAGCAGTGCGCACGCCATGCACGCCCCGGGCCGGAGGGCCGTAGGCAGAGACCCGGCCACCGGCCTCCGTCATGGAGGGCGGCAGCGGCATGGTGGATTGCATCAGCTGGGATTGCTGCGGCGAGCGGCCCATGAATTCCACCTTGCCCGAGTCCTCAGCTCGACTCTCTGGCAGGTTTTTTTTACTACAGACGGCGTGACGGCACAGCCAAAAACAAAACAGACTGCGGCTATCAAAGCTAAGAGTCCAAATGGTAAACGCCACCCTGGATTTCCACCTCGCCGCTGCGAACCTTCTCCCGGATGGAAGAACTGTACTTCAACAGGAAGTCGATGGTGTGGAACACGTTCACTCGCACCGCATATGCGGCCACATCCTCTGCGTTGCTATGGGCACCCATGTCAGCGACCGCTTTCTCTGCAACAGGGGCCAAGTCCAACAGAAGGCCCTCAAGCGCCGAGTTGACGCTGCCTGGGCCCTTCTTCTTTGCCTCCAGGTATGCATTCGCAGCACCGTACACGGCCCCACACTTAGTGTGTCCCAACACCAGGATCATTCGAGCGCCGAGCTTGCCCGTGCAGAACTCCAAGCTGCCCACCATGCTTCCTTCGGCGTGCGTGCAGGTGTTGCCCGCATTGCGCAGCACGAAGATGTCGCCGGGCAGAGCGTCAAACACGGTCTCGATGGGCGCCCGGGAATCCGCGCACCCGAAGATGGCCGTGTGGGGCGCCTGACCCAGGTCCACCAGCTCCTGAAAGCGATGCAAATGCAGACCAACGGCCACATGAGGGCTTGGTGCACAAACATGCGCAGCTGTCCCCTAGAAAATAGGGTTCCTGGTGTCATCTCTCAATGCCCTCCTGGCGCATGGTCGCGTTGGTTCGCGTGGCCTGCGGCTCGCCCCGCACGAAGCGGCCGTTGCCCTCCTTCAGCAGCCGAATTGCCTCCTGCGGCGGCACAGTCGCGTCCGCAGCCGTGCGCACGCGCGTGCCTCAGAGTGAGGCCGTGAGGCAGGGATCCGCCATGAACTTCAAAACGTCAAGACAACTGAAAACACGATGGTGCCAAAAAACGGACATCCGACAGTCAACTCGACACTGCAAGCCAGGCACTCGCCGAGGTCGAGGGCACCGGCTGGACCTTCTGGACCTTCTGGACCTGTGGGGCCTGCTGGACCTGCTGGACCTGCTGGACCTGCTGGACCGGCTGCCTCACCTGGACCGGCATCTGGGAGCCGACGAAGCTGCCGGACAAGGAGCTCGACACTCTGACGGGGCGAGCCACAGGGGCCGGCATGTTCCAGGCGCCCGGTGCCTGGCCCACCACCTGGTAGCCTGGGTGGCTTGGAGCACTCGCCTGGGGATACACCGGCACCTGTCGTGCGCCTTGCACTGTGTAACCGTTGAAGGCCATGGCGGGCGGGCTGTCGGGAGTTCGAGACAAAGGCTGTATGGCTGCAAGCAAGACCAAGGCATCTTCGCGTAAAAAGCGCTGGCCGCTGCATGTCCGACTAACTCCTGGCGAGGCTCTGAGGAGTCTGCTTAAAACAAAGTTAGACTTTTAAAGACCATTAAAGACCGGAGTTGCTCCAGTCTGCCACACACGGATAAGTACGCGTAGCACAGACACCTGGACCACTGTCCCCTCTCAACGTGCCAAACCTGCGGGGCAGAATGCTTCGCGGTCTTGTCACTCGATTGGCTCCAGTTGGCCATGCCCCCGTCGCCATGCCACCCGGAGCCACCGCGAGCCACCGCCACCCCTTCCAGGGCCTGCGTGATCGAAGTTCTCTTGTTGGAGGCGGTTTGCTCGCCGGCCTCTGCGCAACGCGTGTTGCACGAGTGAAAACAACTATGGTACTGGCACACCTCCCGTCTGGAGTAGCAAACCAGCTCTTTCTGACCAACGGTAGTTACGAGGGGTGTCCCTTCGACCTGCAACCTCTTACAAAGTTTCAGCAGAACATCTGCTCACCATATCCTCCATTTACAGTGCTGGTATCGGAACAATGGCAAATTGATGCAAGACGGTCAGCCGGTTGCATTCAGCAGGTTGCAAATGTCTGAAACATAAATGAGCCTGTGTAGTTCAGTGAATGCAGCCAACTTTCGACCACCCAAGAATACAGGGCATCATCATTTGAAACTGCACAGCCACGTCTTTGGGGAAAAATAGAAACTGAAAGCCATATGATATGACAGACCTTGAGAACTCCCCGCATGAGCAACATCGTCTCAGCTACCGCAGATTCTCACCTTTGCGCACAAACACGCACACACGCGTGCGCACACACACACAGTGACACTACAATGGGTGGAGGGTAAGATCCATCTTCCGTTCTTCTTCTGTGTTCGTTCCTGAAGTTCAACGTGCCTTTTTTAGCTTTGTTCCATCCATGGCAACACCTTTTTGAGCATGCTACTAGGAAAGGGTCCAGGATCGCTGGTGTGAGATCACATCGAAGGTGCAAAAACCCTTAATTCAGGGGGACACAAACACTCTGCCCCAAAGAGCCACCTGCACTGAGTACCGCTCCGCGGGCTTCGTGTCCTGGGCCCACCTGAGAACTCGAGTGCACTTTCACAGAAGCCACCAGGCTATAAGCTAAAACCAGGAAGAGTCTATCAGTGTACATGACTGTGGATTGCCCATGCTGACCCAATAGTTCACAACACTATGTCGAGTGACGGCCTAAAGCAGAAGCTGCCGAGTGACGGCCTACTGTAGCTTCTTCCAAAATTCAGCTCAATTGCACGTCCAACGTTCCAACTTGTTGCCATGCAGGCAGGCCGTTTGAAGTTTTGCCGCATGAGACTCGCAGAACTCCGAGATCCAAGCAGTCATTTGGCCCAAAACGGGGCTGAAGATTCCGGGAACTGACACGAGGGGCCAATTCAATGCAAGCAAACATGGGTTCATGACTATCAGCTGCCCTGATGCTCCGGATGTGCTTGCAAAATCAAGCTGTCAATTGCAATAAAACAACCACGATGCAACAGGCCTCGGTGCCAATTCTACTCGACGTGTAAACGAGCCAGCCCAACCACAGAAGATGTTAGAGCAGCTATCTGCCTAGCATGTACTGTAGGCTCAGGAGACCCACAAGCTTGAAGAGTGGATCCTCAGATCCACTTTCACACAGATGCATCTCAACATAAGGAGTCATTCTTGTGTTGATCAACAACTAGGAGGGCGACCACCTTTCTTTGGAAGAACTGTGAGACATGCCTTCTGGATTTACGTTTGCAGGAAAAATGCATGGGCGGACTGAAAACTTTCTACACCTTGGGCGACTTAGCCAGCTGAGCTCTTCCCAATCCTCAAGGCTCGCACTGTGTGACCTCTCATATCTCATGTGAAGGAAGTGCCGATGAGCATGGTCACGCCGCGGCCAGTATTGTCCTGGGAGTGGGCAAAGCCAGGCAGTCCGCTCAATCACATTGACTCCATCAATACCTGATCCGCACAATACCTGATCTGCAATCTCGCTTGCCAGACAAAAAGTTTGGTGCATGACAAGGGCTGTGCTGCTTTTGTTTGAGATTGTCAAACTGCGATCAAAGAACATTAAGTGGCATTCAGCGGGGCATGTTTCAAATGAGGCATGCTTTCCCACCTGTTCCTTTTCCTGCTGAGGCGTTTGGCCGCTTAATATGCATTGCTTCGTCAGTTGCGAACAGCTTCTTTCCACAAACCGACAGCTGAGACGTCCAGTAGCTCCAATGCCCATCAGTTCATGCTGACAAAAAGATCTGGCCTATGCGCTCATCTCATTTCAGGCCCCGACGCGGAATGCTGCGAGGACGCCTGATGAAAGCGGATGTCGGGGAGGGACATTGCCTTGAGGAGTTAAGCACAAGGACATCTAGACGGTTTACTTCCGCTAAGCTCACTGCACCACACAAGGGGCATCCCACAGAAATTGGAACTCTATGAGCCACCAAACACATGGAACTCTATGACTGTGACGCTGTGACGGCTATCGCTCTCTGAGAGAAGCGAATTCCCCGATGCCTGGTCAACCTGAGATACCACCAGTCGACGTTATTCGCTTGAAACCTTCGGCTCTCCAGCGGGGAACAAATTGACTCCCATCCCCAAGACGAACGGCTCCGCTGAAAGGCGTCGTGACTCTGAATCTCTGGGTGTTCATTTGGCAAACTAGACCTGGTAAAGAATGATTAAAGAACTGAAAGCAGTGAAATGAATGTATCGTTCAAGTAAAACTCAGTAAACCAGGAATCTAGTGAATCTATTCAAACGAAACAATCACGCCGCCAAACCCCCAGCTCGCCTGTGCCGTTGAGCCCCACAGCGACGAGGCTCTCCACACCCTCCGAGACCACTGCGCTGGAGCCCAGCCTAGCCCGTGCTCGTCATTTGGCGGAAGACCGGGCTTGAGTTTGCCGCTGTCCGCTATTTACGGTTCTTCCGGGGTCAGATCCCCCAGTACGATTTGAATCATGAGGATCTTCGCATTTGAGTATGTTCTTCCCCCCTTCCCCGACAACAGCCTAAAACACTCATTAACACTTGTGGACGGCTCAGCCTGCATCTCTGGCTAGCCTGCGTCAGCCCTTGCCCAGCCAGCCCAGCACCCACGGCACCACAGCCAACACTTTGCTCAAGAGCCTGGCAATCACTTTGCGATGCATCCCACCACACTGCTCAGCCCAGCCAGCGCCATTTCGCTCTTGTGTTCTCGTAAATATGAGGTCAGTGGACACCTCCGCAACACTGGTTTATTGGGGATAGCTTCCAGTACTGGACTTGTCTGCGGGTTGTCTAAGCAAATCTCATGTGTCCTTTTACCTAAAAAGCGCAGTTAGCTAGTGTGTCCCCAACTGGAAATTTGTCGAGTAACCTGGCAACTTGGTGAGTGAACCCAATGACATCCCCTAGGCTACAGTGGATGACGGCAAATAGTGACTGTTGCAGTCATGGAGAGCCACGGCAAGCGCGTTAGACTCCCTGGACGCCGGGAGCTGCCATTCAACTCTACTGGGCAAAAAGCAATGCAGTGCGCAGGTGAAAAAGGAAGAGTTGCCTCGGAGAGGGCTGCAATAACGAACAGGCGGCAGGCTGTCGTGCGCGTCTCGCGAAACAGCTCTTCAATTCCAGCGGGTCAAGCAGCTCATGGTTGATGGCTAGAAAAAAGTACAGCCCTGCCATTCCCTCCAAACATTTCCTCGGAAACATGCGCTTCCCACAATTTCCAACAAGCCACGCCAAGAAACACCTATTGGATCTGATTTTGACACCCTGAATTCAGATATGCCGTGAACTGAAACTAGCTGAATCTCTCTGGTTGACGGAACTGAGAATCTGCAGACTTTGGGCTAGCATCGAGTAAACACGGAGGAAGAATATTGCGTCAGCGCGGAGAGCGCTCCTGATGGCATGATCCTCGCCGTTGTAGTTCTCGAAAACTTCAACCTGCGATGCGGACCATGCGAGAGTCCACAAACTGCCGACAAACGATCCGAGGAACTGTGGTATGACACAATGCTACCCCTCCCTCCTCTTCTGGCTTCAATGTAGGGGGTAGGTTCACCCGCTCTGGAGCGGACTTTGCGCCGGTAGATGAAGTGCCAAGTGCCAAGGTGCGTCTATACACTGGAGTGTTCCATTCTCACCGAACTATTTGTCCAGCATGAGCATTGAAAGTGGGGCTGGCAGAGAATTTGTCACACATGAGCAATTGCAAAAGGTCGGCTTCTTATTGCAAGCGAAATGCCACTCGATTGCCAAAGAGGCATCATTTCCACCGGGCTAGCGCTGTCAAACCCAGCAACGCCCTGCCTCCTGCACAACTGCTAGCCCGTCTGGGTCCCGAAATACGCAAAGGGCCTGGCGAGTGGCTTCCAGCGGCATGCTAAGCTCTAGAAATTTAACGTTGGACGAAGTAAAAGAAATATCCCTTCATCAAGATCTAGAATTATAATAGCTTTTCTGTAATAACTTGTCCTTTGTATTTTCATTCTATATTTATCTTCTTTGGTTATTTTGTTTGGGATACAATGCTTGAGTTGTTTATTATTTCTTTATTGTTTCTTTTATTATATTTGTATTGTTTGTCTTTTCTTTAGGCTCTTTATGTTAGTTATCTTTCATATTTAATTAATATTTTTATATGTCTTTCTCTGCAAGCCCATCTGAGCCCATCTAGATGGACTGCACGAACCCGGTGATTCCCTCTCAATGTGCATCGCGTGAACGAAACTCAACCCAAAAGAAATGGCGTCCATCCCTCGTGCAAGCAGGCCAGGCATACCGAGGAGCCCAGTGTCACCTGCAAAGGCAGAAACGGGTCAATCTGCTGGCACAGCAACTGTCCTTGGTATGCCTGGGCTTGCCGGACTTGCCTGCTGAGGCAATAGCTCTGCGGTGGCATAGTGAGAGCATCTAGCTGCGCTGCTCAAGTGTGTTTTGCTATAAGAAGTTGAATGCTAAGAAGTTTAATGCCTGTAGTCCAGTGTGGTCCTCAAAGGCAGCTTCAAGTGCCAGAGCCTTGGCAAATGCCTCCTGAAAAAACCGCGGTGCTATATACAACACCTCCCCACATCTGTCAAGGGTGACACCCTCATGACCTCATGCGAGGGGGACTTGTTCTGAACGGAGTTTTCCCTCGTCAGGCCTATCACGTTGTCTCATGCCAAGTGATTTCCATCCGCAACCTGGAAATTCTCCCGATGGAGCCGCCCCGTTCCACCCCCATGCGGGCGTGCCAGCGACACATGGTCGGCTTGGCTTCGCAGAGGTGTGGCCTTAGCGAAAGCCCCGGCATCGACGTCTGGCTTGCAACGGGTAGCCTTCAGGGCTTCACACCAGTCAGTCCTTTGCAACAGTCTGCCTTTGCCGGAGCTTTCTGGCCTGACATCCAAAGACAAAGATTGGCCACTGCTGAGCGAGGCTTGCAGAGTGCTGAATGTCTGCTTTGTGCTGGCAGCCTTTCTCCAAAGCAGCCAAACAGCTTACATGTCAATGTCGCCCCAGTTCCACTGAATTCGGCCAAAGCACCGCAGCACGTGTGGCATTCACGCCGTCAATGGTCAAGAGAACCACCTTGAAGCGTCCGAATGTTCCGCTTGAATCACACCCCCACAAGCTTCCAGGCGGTCCGCCTCGCCCGCCTCGCCCTGCGCGCCAAAGGCTACCAGCACCTGCTGATGGCATTGGCACCAGCATGAGGCGGTTACGAGTTGACGAGGCCTTCCCAGCGAGTGCCGTCGCTGCCACCCGCACGGATGTGGCACTGCCCTGACAGCGGAAGGGCAATGGGTCGGACCGGTTCTCTCTCGCGACGCTGGCATCCAATCGCGTCCCACAGCACGTTTACCTAACCGCATGCTGGGTGGAAAGCGGCACATGAGCATCGGGCTATGTCATTTTTACCTTACAAGAACACTGGAAATCAGGATGACCCCCGATGGATGCAGGAAAGTCTGTATTGGGCCCTGCCACAGAAAGTCTGCTCAACTTGCCAGGACTGTGGCTGGAAGTATCAACTGGGATGGCTTTGGCCCGGTACAACAAGCTACTATCTTCCCTCAGTGAACAGCAGATTGTGGCAGCAGCCACGACCTTTCTGATGCCTCAACCGTTGCAGACAAACTGGATTGTTCAAGTGACATCCTCCAAATGACCCTTGAAATGAGGGGGGGTAATGCGAAACCACCCAAATTAGGCTGAGGCCCCTTTGAACATTTTGTACAAAGGGGCCTCAGCCTAATTTGGGTGGTCTTTGTTCTGGTCTCCGTGCTGAAAGCCACCAAAATATCCGCCGTCTTCCCGAAATCGCTTGGCCTCCTCTGTCCTCGGCTCACACAAACATCCCTTGAATTCTCAGCTTCGCGGCTTGGGGTGTTTCAGTGTCCTAGGGAACCTGCTGGTGTGGCTCGGAGCGACAAAAATGGAACGAATTTTGAGCGATTTCGAGGACCGCTTGGCTCAGGCAAGGTTGCTTGCGACTGAGGAAAGCCATGAATCCTTGGCACTGGATGCTGCAAAGCGCCACGCCGGTACAAACTGCAAAAGTCGTTGACTCATGGAAAGGATGCAAGTTAAAGACGAACGAGCAACAATGAACAGAATCTAATTAGACACTTTGCTCCTTGTGAGATGGCACATGGCAAAGACCAAAGGCAAGCAGAAAAAGGGAGCAACCAAAAAAGCAGAGTGTGATACACTGCGAAAGTATCTCCCTTTGTTTGGAGACATGTTTGCTAGAAATCAGAAGGAGTCTTGGCGCCCCTCATTGACCCATGCCACACACCAACACAATTATCTATAGCGGACTTTCGACTGACGGCCGCTTACTTTCGGAAACTGGCGTGTGTCACTTGCATGTCAGTGCAGACACCTTGCGGTCATATCCCAAAAGCTGCGTGTTTCAAAAGGGGTTCCTCTAGATCGGCTATTTGTTTTCCGCTTGCCCACGGGGATGACCTTTACGTCAAGCTCTGCGGATCTTGCACGGTTTTATTCATCCGAGCGTCGAGAAGTTGGCCGTCTCATTCGTGGAGTTTCCCAAGATGACGGTTTCTGGCGCTCCGAGGGTCACATCGTTGAGGCCGTCTCCGGTGACCTGAGAGCTGATTCTCGGGACAGCCACAACGCGGAACTGACCCATACCGTCCCAACCGCGACTGACCCCCGTGTCTTTTCCAGCCCCCGCCCGCCTGGATGACCCTGGCCTGGCACATTGCATGCTTCATAGAGTCCGATCAAAGATGTGAATCTAGATACTATATTTTCAGGGGTGAAGAACATGAAGAGACAACTTCCCTTGCTTTGCGCCCAAAACGACATAGGCCATCTGGAGGAAGCTTTCAACAAAATCGCCTGCAAACCAGTCCGGCAAACAACGGAAAGCGCCTGCCACGGCATGCGATGGCTTTCCCTTGTTTTCCCTTGCTTTCCCTTGCCTTCCTTCGCTTGACCTTGCTTTTCCCTTGCGTTGCCTTGCTTTCCCTTGCTTTCCCTTTCCGTTGCTTTCCCATTTCCTTGCTTTCCCTTGCTGTCCCTTGCTTTCCTTTGCTTTGCCTTGCTTTGCCCGTGCTTTAGCTTGCTTTGCCTTGCTGTCCCTTGCTTTCCCTTGTTTTCGCTTGCTTTCCCTTGCTGTCCCTTGCTTTGCCCGTTCTTTTGCTTTCTTTGCCTTGCTGCCCCTTGCTTTACCTTGTTTTCCCTTGCTTCCCTTGCCTTGCTGTCCCTTGTTTTCCCTTGTTTTCCCTTGTGTTCCCTTGCTGTCCCTTGCTTTCCTTTGTGCCCGTGCTTTTGCTTGCTTTGCCTTGCTGTCTTGCTGTCTCTTGCTTTCCCTTGCTTTGCCTTGCTTTGCCCGTGTTTTTGCTTGCTTTGCCTTGCTGTCCCTTCCTTTCCCTTGTGTTCCTTTGCTTTGCGTTGCTTTGCCCATGCTTTTGCTTTCTTTGCCCTGCTATCCCTTGCTTTCACTTGATTTCCCTTTCACTTGCTTTCCCTTGCTTTCCCTTGCCTTCCTTTGCTTTGCCTTGCTTTGCCCGTGCTTTTGCTTGCTTTGCCTTGCTCTCCCTTGTTTTCCCTTGCTTTCCCTTGCCTTCCCTGGCTGTCCCTTGCTTTCGTTTGCTTGTCCCTGCTTTCCCTTTCCCTTTCTTTCCCTTGCTTTGCCCGTGCTTTTGCTTGCTTTGCCTTGCTCTCCCTTGTTTTCCCTTGCTTTCCCTTGCTGTCCCTTGCTTTCCTTTGCTTGTCTTTGCTTTCCCTTGTTTTCCCTTTCCCTTGCTGTCCGTTGTGTTCCTTTGCTTTGCCTTGCTTTGCCCGTGCTTTTGCTTGCTTTGCCTTGCTCTCCCTTGTTTTCCATTGCTTTTGCTTGCCTTCCCATGCTTCCCTTTGATTGTCCTTGCTTTCCCTTTCCCTTGCTTTCCCTTGCTGTCCCTTTCTTTCCCTTGGATTCCCTTGCTTTCCCTTGCTGTCCCTTGCGGTCCTTTGCTTTCCTTTGCTTGTCCTTGCTTTCCTTTGCATTGCCTTGCTTTCCATTGCTTTCCCTTTCCCTTGCTTTCCCCTGATTTCCCTTGCAGTCACTTGCTTGCTGTCCCTTGCTTTCCTTTGCTTTGCCTTGCTTTGCCTGTGCTTTCGCTTGCTTTGCCTTGCTGTCCCTTGCTTTCCCTTGTGTTTCCCTTGCTTTCCCTTGCTTTTTTGTTGCTGTCCCTTGCTGTCCCTTGCTTTCCTTTGCTTTGACTTGTTTTGCCCGTGCTGTTGCTTGCTTTCCCTTGCTGTCCATTGCTGTCCCTTGCTTTGCCTTGCTTTCCCTTGCCTGGCTTGCTTTCCCCTACTTTCGCTTCCTTTGCCCTTGCTTTCCCTTGGTTTGCCTTGCTTTGCCTTGCTGTCCCTTGCTGTCCCTTGCCAGCTTGACCCAAGTCAGAGCAAACCAACAACTGCACAACCCTCCTGCACTGAATCACATACAAGCAACAACCCAAACCAGCGCCCGTACTTACACACCCCGTGTCGTCTCCCTGGGACCTGCAAACCAGCCTTGCGGTGGCAGAAAGTGCTCCAAAAAATACTCCCAAAAAATGGGAGTATTTTCCTGCGACATCCCCAGCATCGCCGACCACCACAAAAACTTGCAAAACAAGCGACATCCCCTGCATCCCCGGCATCCCCTGCATCCCCGGCACCCCTTGTGCGCCCAAGTCCGGCGAGGCCGGAAGCAAAGTAAAATGATGTAAAACTGGCACGCTTTTTTGCCCGCGAGAGCCACAGACGAAAAGGTCAGACATGATAGGCAGCGTCGACGAAAAAGCGCGAAAAACACAGGGAAAAACACCAAAAACCAGCCTTGCGGTGGCAGAAAGTGCTCCAAAAAATGCTCCCATTTTTTGGGAGTATTTTTCGGCTGACCAGACCTGCAAATCACCCGGAACGAGGTTACCCCCCCCCCCACACCCCCCCCCCCCCACAACTTCGTAGCGCTTCAAGAAGCGCTTTCCGTCATCCCTTTCGGCAGGTGCCATTTCTCTTCCCCACTTCCCCAAGTGAAGAGCAACCAGGTCATTGACCAAGATGAGCAGACCAGCCTGCAGCGAGGCCGTGGTCTCGTCGAAGAAGGTAACCAGGGCCACAGACTCCGACACAGCCGCCAGCGCCAGGTGGCTGGTCCTTTGCAGAGTCCAATCGAAAAAGCAGGCGAGCCAACCACATGCAGCCAAATCTATCCGCAAAGCTCTGACTTGCAAGACTTAGGGCATCCTCCATAACTTTCCCGCCGGGTGTTTGGGTCCGGACTTATTGTTGCCCGACTTTCTGCCTGAACAAAGGTGTGAGGATTCCAACTCGGAGGGTATCCTCGCAAACCGCGAAACCGGAAGTGAGTTGAAAGCTCAAGGGCGACTGCTTCAAAACATGTCACATACTAGCACTATCTAGCACTGCTTTGCTTTGCCCTATTCGGCTGAGTGAGCAAACTCGGCACCCCCTGAATTTTCTGAATGGCTGGTCTCTACTGCGCTCGAACCAATTGAACGGGTTCCCTAAATTCCCTTCTGTTGGCTCTGTGAGCACGCTGCTCGGCATAGGCTTTCTTTCATTACCTAATCATTACCAAGGACGCAAGCAGAAGTCATTGCCCTTTGCACATGCAAACCGGCGGGTCGAACTGAGCCCACGGCTTGCCAGCATTCACCACCTGTGAGAAAAGCCGGCCCATGACGTCGTCCCATTGGCCCAAAGAAAACGGCCGCAAAAAAATGGGCATGGCCAAGGCAAGCAGAATGACTGTTGGGTGAAAAATGGCACAGCTCCCTCATGTTGGGCTCATCCCCCAAACACAAAGATCCAGGTTCATCCTAGTGTACCCCTGATAGGCTGCCTAGTGAACCCTTGGTAGCCGATGTTGCGTCATCCCGCCTGCTTGATGCCAAGCTTCATGCTCCATTGATCTGGAAAGTGATGCGACACCGTCACCACCACTACCTGGGCTTCGTGCGCAAACAGGGCTCCGCCATCTGCTGTCCGCAGATGGAAACCTCCAGGTGCAGAGACAATTGGAACATAGAAGTATGTGTGTGTGATATGTGTTTCATGATACGTCTGGTGATAGACACTAGATTGATATTCAATTTCGGTTTCTGCTCCTGACAGGCATGTGGGGCAACTGGGGCGAACGGGAGTTTGTCAATAGACTTCAGAAGCAGCATACATCTGTTGAACACAAGGGCCCATAGACTCCGGCAGTCTTTATGATTTCAGAGTCCGTACAGCCACAAAGCCTGACACAAAGCTGTAGTTTTCCTCTGCTACCAGCAAGAAAGGCAACCAACCAACCAACCAACCAACCAACCAACCAACCAACCAACCAACCAACCAACCAGCCAACCAACGAACGAACGAACGAACGAACGAACGAACGAACGAACGAACGAACCAACCAACCAACCAACCAACCAACCAAGCATCCGACCAACCAACCAACCAACCAACCGCATCCAACCGCATCCAACCGCATCCAACCGCATCCAACCGTCCAACCGCATCCAACCGCATCCAACCGCATCCACCCACCCACCCACTCACCGGCCCACCCACCTACTCGGTCTTCCCACCCACTCTGTGGCTGGGTGCCCAGGCAGTGCCCTGCTGTGCCTCCCCATCCGCGAAGGCCGCCAAGAGCCGGGTGGGGGAGAGGCGCGCCACCTGGCAGACGTCAGGCCTACAGGTCCCTTGGGGCCGGAGTTCGGCAGGGTGCAGGGGACCGAGCAACCATATTTGTGCCTCGCATGAAGGCGTTCACGTGCCGCGGTGGTTAAGTACACGACAAATCTGCTGGATTGAGAAGGCCTCAAGCTGAAACATCACTGCAGTTCCAGCACCATCATCTTCCATTGGTGGATGGTCGGTTTTTTCTTTTTTTTTTGTATGTCCTCTTCTCTATATCTCATCATGGTGTTCCAAGCTGTTTGGCCGGTTTGTGGCAAAGACAAGCATTGCGCACCAAATGCGGAACTAATCACAACTCAAGGATGCAAACAGCAAGCGTAGAGGGGTGATTTAAAAAATGAGGTACATGGACAATGAAAAATGATGGAAGGCCTCCTGCATCTTGTCTGCCCGCTTGCTTTCACATATGCAATCCTTCTGGCGTCTTAGCGCCCTCAATGAGTACATGCGGCGTGAGAGTTGTGTCCTTTGTCTGGGATGAGAATGCTCAAGTGCTGAAAAACAATGCTGTTCGGTTTAAAAAGGCGGGCGCCTCTTTCGACAAATTGTCTGATGGCACAACTTGGCACAACCATTCAAATCTACCCACTTCAAATCTACTCACTCCACCGGAGAAAAAAAATGGCTCCAGGCCTGGGGTTGCCAGGGCTTGCTGATACCCCGCCCACCTTCTGGAACCGAACTTGCTCCCGGCTGGTGTAGGCACAGGCCTTATGTGCACATCACGCATTTGGCTTTGACAAGAAACCACAAAGAACACATTTGGCACGGACGCCTTCCCCGCCATTTTGGTTTGGGGCCGGGGCTCTTGCCCCAACTCCTTTCCCCTTCCCGTGGGCCCGGCTGCATTGGGATCCGTTGTGCTGCACGGCCTGTAGGCATCCTGGCAAACCCATAGGCGTCCTGCTTCGCATGTCGGAAACCCGTGCAACGCTCTGAAACGACAAAGTTGACCACCTCTGCGAACTCCATCGCGGTGTCTCACATGCGTATCTCAACACTGGGCACCTCTGAACGTGCAGGTTTACTTTGAGGCTCCCTGGGGCCATCCGCAAAAGTTGTATTTCTTCCGAAATTGTCTGCTGAGCGGAGCATGGGTAGTCGAACGTTGACTTCCAGGCTACTTGTCGTGGTAAACAAATTACTGACTCGGTTCACGGTTTCCGCGTCTGCCGTTGGAAGGGCTGGCAAACATGCGCCAAGCCTCTGAATGTCAGTAATGCATTGCATCTGCCTTTGCAGCGTGACAATTCCGATCCGAAACTCAGAAAATGCAGGGATAGCTGCGAACCCCAATCCATTTACATCTACTTACTATACGATACGGATGTTACGTTCTGTAACGCGATGTCGAAATAGAAGGCTAACAGGCAAATGACCTGCAACCTGCCAAAGCCGGCTCCACTGGGGCTGACGAGCCAATGCTTGTGGCATGTGCTTCTCCGGAATTCAGCTTGAGTTTCGTGTTGAAACCAAAGTGGTAGGATGCTCGGTGCTGTTTAACTAACCCCAGAAAAAGCAAAAAAAAAAATGGCCCCCAACACACTAGGTCCGAATCTCTTGAGGACTGGCGTAGGCCCTTGCAACAACTACTTTAGGGCTCGGCCCATACGCAGCGATATGCGCGCAAGCCCCGGGCCTCCCAATCGTCCAGACCCTCTGGCGGCATCTTGTTGAAATGCTGCGCCGCGCGTCGAGCTTGCCAGGTCGGCCTCAGAGCGAGTCAGCTCACCTGGCCCCCTCGAACCAGTTCCACCGCTCGATAGACATCCCTCTTCTCCCCGTTGGCAAGAGAAATGCGCGGGTCAAATCTAGATTTGATTCAGGTTGTTCCTTACAGGATCGTGGATCTGATGCTTCTCTGGGAGGGCTAGATGCTGCAAAGCATTCGAGCATCATCGACACCACTAGCGGTATCATCAACGCACCATTCGGGTTTGGTGGGCTTAGTGTCGGTTTGAAGTGGCTTTGGGGTCGGTTTAGGCTGGGTTTAGGGGTGGCTTGGGATGTCACTTTTCAGCTCAAAACTAGCAGCATCACCAGTGGCCTACTGGTTGCGGGAGGGTTGGTTTGGAGGGAGTGGAATGGATGTCAAGCGCTTTTGGGCCTGGAGTCTAGGGATGGGTTAAGAGGATGTTGGGTGGTTTTGGGTGGTCAAGGTGGGTTCAGGGTGTGATTTTGATATGGATCTGGGCAACTTGTTGAGTAGATGTCAAATTGGTCTTGGGTTGGGTGCCCAAACCCCAAGTCGTATCCCATGTCGTATCCCATGTCCAAACTCCAAATTCTGAACCCGGACCAAGCAAATGTCGTATCCGATTTCAGAGTTCCACAGCTCAAGGTAGCTTCTTGAGTTTCCGGGCGCCGACTGCGGCCCGTGCGGCTGAGCCTGCGAGCGCGAATGTTGCAAGAGCAGCTGAACCAGTCAGTTAGCATCGCATTTCTCGCCTTGGCTAAGGCCTGATCGTTGATCAATCAAGACGGCAGAAATATTCGAACGCTCGATACATCCTCAAGGGAAACATGCAAAATGTGTCCAATTCGTTGGAGAAATCCCCCATGCAACAAGAGTGTGTGTCTAGATCCAATTGGCAAGGATGCTTAGAATGCAGCAGCGCCAGACGACGTAGTCACAACGTCTGCCGCGTAGTGCACTAACTTTGCCCTTCACATGCGGAGTATCTTCTAGACCTTTTAGCCCCGATCGGTAGGACCCGGCACTCCTGTTCCCAGGAACTCGGGAAAGCAAACGCCTGGTCTAGGAGGTGCCCGGCATGATCAAACCAAGAAACAATCGTGGGAAGCTGGCGGAAAGTCGGCACACACACACACACATTGGCGTCAATGGATGCTCAATCATGGGCACAAGCACATTGCTATGGGTGTGCCAAGATTGAAGTTGCAGGGCTTGTCTACACGTGAAATCCATCTTCTGGATTTGAATCTGCGCGGCACAGTGCCTTCACCGCCATCCTGCCTTCAGCACCATGAGGTTGCCCGGGTGCTTCTCCGGGCTGGAGATGTCCCGGAAGCCTTCCGCACGAAACTCCACATGATTTGCTTCTCTTCGTGGAGAGCTTTTGATTTCACGATCTCATTGGACACCACGCTGTTTTCATGAGTCCATTGGGTCTCGCAATGCTTGAACAAGGGACTGTCACTCCGACTCCCTGGCCAGCGGCATGGAGAACGGCCTGCAACCAGCACGTAGTCCGTATGCTTGGAGGTGAAGTCATCGCCTCAAAACTCATGCGATGGCACGTACTCCATGCAAATTGTAGAGCCAACTCTCCTTTGAGCGACTCCCTGTTTGGTACCATGTTAAATTGCAGAAAAAGCATCCCTTGAGCAATGCTCCCACCTTCTTCTCTCAACGACAGGATGCAAAAGAGGCACAACCACACCCACACACACACCCACAGACTGTCAAAAGGATGACCCGCGACATGGAAATGACGTGTGCTTGCGAGGTGCCCAGGATGCACGGCGGAGAGAAAACAGAAATTCACACAACACAAAACAGAAAGGAGGTGGGTGAAAAACATCGCCGGTTCGCTGGGATGAGCGCTTTCAAAGTCAACGCCGATGGCAAGTCATACGGTATCGGGCGGAACAGGCACGCAAGCGCGTAGGAATGCGCACATGCACAAACAGTGGCCGTGGAAAGCAGTCTCTACGGGTGCCTCTCTATGTGTCAACAGTGGCACTACCCTATACTTACTTCCCCAAGGAACACCAGCAGGAATACGGCCAGCAAAGTCTCGGGCCGTGGCAGTTCTCGCAGTCATCGATGCCTTGCACCAAAGGCCTCCTTGTGGTGAGCGCCACAGCTGACAGGCCATCTGAGGGCCGTTGGTGGAAGACGTAGCCTTAGCTCTCGGAAGCGATTCCGCCCGCTTGAAGCCGTCGGAAGAACGAGGGGGGGGTGGGGGGGATTTGCCTTTCGCCGCGAGCAGCAGAATCACACCCCTGCCGGCTTGCAAACTGAAACTCACCTGGATGCAGTCCGCCTCTGCCATTTAACTTAGGTGCCAATTCAGGTGCCATACGCAGAACTGTTCAACGTGTTGCATTTGTGGTCAAATTGCAAAAACACGATCAATGCAATGATCAGCAGTAAATGTACTTTCCGGCGAACCACTGTCTTTGCAAAACGTGTCTTAAACGGCACCCTCGACCATCACACGGCCAATTCTATAGATCTGGTTACCTCACCAAACCGACCTCTGCCAGAACACAAGAAGGCAGCCAACATCCCAGTCAAACACTTGCCTGAGTAGCGGGGCTGGCTGCAACGTGACTGAACCAACCGAGGTTGTGGTTTAAGCTGGGTCCATTCATCCTGTAAATTGTGGATTTTTAGGGAAATGACCCCCAACAATAACGCTGAGCCGCTCAAAATGCAACTGTTTCAAGGAGACCCAGACCAATACCCCTGCAAACAAAGCCAAAAAATACACCAGCATGGAGCCCAAATAGCTAACAACTGGACCTGCACCAGCACCCCACACTGCATGCTCCCTAGCCCTACCGTCAATCTCGCAAAAGCGCGCCTGTGAAGTCACTAGCATTCAACAACACCCTGAACGCACCCCAAACAGCACCCCCCGACACCCAGCTGCCAATCACGCAAAAATGAGTCGCCAGCAAACCCCCAAAGCACACCTGCACCAGCACCCGAAACTGCAGCACCCTGCCCATCAATCTCGCAAAATGCGCCTGCACCGTCACCAGCACCTCAAACAGCACCTGCACCGCCCCAAGCTGCATGCCCCTAGCACCCGGCTCAAACAGCACCTGCTGAAACAGCATGCCTCGTAGCAACCTGCCCTCAATCTCGCAAAAATGCGCTCGCGCCGCCACCAGCACCCCAAAACAACACATGCGCCACACCGGCGCCACCTTAGTGGCGGCACTCACAGCAGCGCAGTGCTGGAGCACCGCCCTGTTATACCTTGCATCTGTGCCACACGGCCAAGCGAAACGTGCTTGGACCGGGCACCTTGGCCTAAGAGGCCGGTTTGCTTGGAAGCGTACGCACTGCCATGTCAAGTGTTCCCAGCCGGGTATTTCTGCTTGCTCACGCCACACCATTGGTGGCGATTGGGAGCATCACTCACGGCACCCCCACACAATACAACTCTGGCATCTGTGGCTGCTGGCTTGAAGGCTTTGCGCGCGGCCTGCCCAATCTTCCGCTACAAGCCACAGCCCTCAAGGGCGCCGCGTCACGTCTACGCGACTCCTTTTGTTGTTTTGCGTGGGCCTCTCAGCCGCATTGCTTTTTAGCAGCAAGACAACCCCTAGTATACGTGCCCTGTCACACACAGGTCTTGCCACAAGGCAACAGCTCTTTCAGGTTGATTTACATTGCTGCACTCAAATGTCCAGTCATCCAAGAAGATGGCTGCGGTAGGCGCCATCCAAGACTCGGCTGACATCTTTGCTTTATGGGCTCTGAAGAGGCCTGTCATGATTGCGTTCATAGCGATGCAACTTATTGCGTCGCCTTGCGGCACCGAAGCGGCGGGCTTGTTGAAGAGAACCAATCAGCGCTGCTGGCTTCCCCAAATTAGCTGCCCAGCTCTCAGGGAAGCCCAGGCACACCATGGCCTTCAAGGCTAGATTGGAATGTTGTCAAACGCTTTGCACAAACATTGTCATAAGAATGCCATTGTCGAGGCACGCCTTTTCATGTACTGCCGCGGCTACTCCCTTCGCAGCCGCTGCTACAGCTTCGTGTCAGCACAAGCGGCGATGGCGCCAGCTATAGTTCTCCCTCGGCATCTGTCCTCTTTCACATCCTTGGGCCACTCGGCGGCTTCAAGAGCTGTCCAGCCGTCCATGCCTCCTGCTTTGGGCCATTAAGTCTTCCACCATTGGTCGTGTGGCCCTATGCTGAGTGTTGCTTCGCGGGGGGGGGAGCGACTGCTGCCAGTGTTGGAAGGCTTCATCGACATCAACACTTTGCCGCTGCCACACTTCTTCCCAGCAAGAGCGGCTGGGCGCGACTGCCGTGAACTGGGGGTTGGGAGCCATGAGCGCCCGGCCACCGACACTCATACGCTGTCTCCAGCTTTGTTTCGCAAAGTTGCCAAAAGAGCATCCAAGGCATGTAGCACCTGCTGACGGGCCGCCTTGCGTAGCCTTCCAGCAAGTTTCCTTAACTTACGTTCGTGCGTCGAGTTGCGCCAAGCATGTTATATGATGCCTTGGCGTACATATGCCTTGGCGTACATATCACACAGCGCCTCGAAAAACCAGCAGGCCCATTCTTCATCTGCAGCCAGCCACTTGTTCACTGAAAGTCTGCTGCCTCACCTCCCAGGCGTGCTGTCAGGGCTGCAGCCACTGGTGAGCTGTGGCACTTGCTAGTTGCTCATATTTGTCCTGCCTTGGCAGTTTCCACTCGTCGGCAGAGCCGGTGCTAAGAGGCCTTGCAAGAATGACTGTTTGTGGTCACTCCATCTGAGATCATCACACGTCATGTCCGGCACATGGGTTGTTTCTGCAAGGGCCCAATCCACACGTGTCCCTGCCATCTGCTTGGTGGCGGCCTTCCATCTGCGTTGCGCACAGCATGCGCTGGCTCCTCTGCAGCAGGGGGCGTGGGTAAGCGGGCAATCTTGAGATTCCTCATTCCAGTCGCCCATTACCAGCCATTGTTGCCTGATATACACGTTGCAATTTCCACACCTTGTCCTGCTTCGCGCTGTAGAGTGGCATGGAGTGAGTGTCTCCTTGTGCGGCGCACCAAAGTGCATGTACCACCGTGCACGGCCGACGCGCCATTTCTTGCCGTGACGGGCATAGGCATACTGCAGCACGCGTTGTACCCATGAGTGGCAGCTAATGAGCTAAGGCTGCGTTGTTGCCTGTCAGTCAACCTCCCTTCCTGCAAAGCGAGCACATCACACTGCATTGCCATGTAATCTGGGACGCACTGAAACACTTAGCAGATGATGCCACGTTCAGGCTGATCATACTTATGCTCGGGCCTGGATGCGGCTCTATGCCCTCACGCGTTAAGTCTCTCCACCAACACAAGGCAGTTGGCGGAGGGCATGCTGCGAGAGGCTTGGGTTCGAGCCATTTGGTGAGTTCGTTTTTTTCCAAGCTGCATGCCCCCAGCCATCAATCTCACAAATCACTTTCCCCTCTTTACTAGAAGTTAGAACCCCTATAGCTTTCAGCTTTCTGGGGAAAAACGAGTGTACAAAACAACCATGCTAAAGGGAGCCACCACAAAGGGGCCCAAGTCAAGTGAGGACATTCCACGCCAGGTCTCCCACCGCCGGCAGCGCCCGGTCCGCGCCGTCGATGTGCAGCACCGCCCCCGCGGCATGCCCCGCGGAGGTGCCGAAGTCCGCCCAGTGCGCGGGAGAGCCCGTCCTCGTGCCGCCGTTTGACGGTGCCCCCATTTTAGGAGTTGTTGTGAAGGGAAACCAAAGTCCGCCGACCCCTTGTCCGCAAGGGCGAGGTGCCCGGGAAGTACAACCAGCATCATCTAAAAGGAAAAGCAAAAAGAAGCAAATGGGAAACCAAAAGGAACCCCCCCCCCCACAGCTCTAAGAGCCCCTAGGGAAAAATGAGTTTCCTAGATGGACTCCGGTGAATGTGGGGAAATGGTCGAGACCGCGAATTCGAGACAATCTGAGACTATATACCTGAGACCTGACACGAATGACTTGGCTGGTATGGCGACATCCTGTATGGAAGAAGGGGATCATGGTACATTGAAGGGACCAGGTGAGATGATCGATCAGCTAAGATGTTCAACCAATGCGAATTTTCTGAGGAGTTGCTGACACAAGTAAACCCGCATGGACAAACTCTGCTCGCTGCTATCATGGTTGGAAGCGTTGTTCTGATGCCGTTGGACAATCTTATCAGGATATCTTTGCTGCAATCGCTGTGTCCATGCGCCTGCTGAGCCGGCAAAGTGCTTACCACCAAAAGAATATGCTCTGCAGGTGCAACGCAGAAATCCGACGCTGCTAAACCAGGCAGCTCTCCGTTTACAAGTGGCTGCTTGCTCAGAAATGGTCCAAGCACCCTCTCTCTCTCTCTCTTTCTCTCTCTCTCTCTCTCTCTCTATCTGGCTTCTGAATCCTCCAGTCCGTTCACAGCAAAGGCATGAATGTGCTCACCTGATATCTTGCAATTGCCTCTGCCCTTGCCTCTGCCAAATCTTGGTCTGTGTGACATTGTCAATCTGCCATTCTGTCTTTTGCACACTAATTGTGGTACCAGTAGCACCTGAAATGGAGGGGTTTCCATTCCAGTTGTGTCCGATGCGAGGCCAAGCAGGGGCAACGACAGCGCTCCCCTCTGCTTCCCAGCATCAAAGCGTTGCTGGTGCTTGGCGTCTCCGAAGGATCCGCGAAGAGCGCCAATGCCCGGTGCCTGCAGATCAGACCATTCAACCGCTTCATATCGCCCTTGGCCAAGGGTGAAGGCTCACGCAGGAAAGCTAGATGACCTAGATGAACAGCTGATTCGAACCTATGACTGGCCTGCAGTTCAAACGAAACAAGCCGCTGGTGCGTGGCTACTAGTGGCCAACCATCATTATGATGCAAATGTATGGCAAAGACTATCAGTGAGGTGTTGAAATTTTACGAGCACACCTCTGGTATCCCTGTAGCACATTAAGTATGCCACGAGCAGCGTGAAGAAACTCACCCTTAGAGGTCAAGAATGACTTGCCTTCGACCGGAGGTTGTGGGATAAACAGCATCCTTTTGAAAACAAGACAGGTATGCACTGTGTTGGTCTTATGCGGGCAAGACCATGTTTGATCGCAGGGCATCAATCATGTCTGCGCTCACTCGGTGGCCTCCACAGACTTGGCCCGGTTTGCCTTGCACCTTTGGCCTTTGAGAGGAAGCAACCAGGTTGCCCTTGTCAGCCCCAAACCTCAAAACGCCCAAATAGGGTATACACGGATACCTTCATGGGTGGCAAGCTGGAGGATTGCCTGCACGCGCCGCGCCTGCCGCCCCTCTCACTGTCCATCAGCGCAAGATTTACTGCGCCCACTTGGGTCGCAAAGACCGTGGCCTCGTAGTACATGGGATACCTCGAGTAGCACCATCAAAGCAGCCGAAAGAAGGCTTGACTTCCAAGCACAAGCATCAAGTGTTGCTGAACCAGCTGTGCTCTTCCATTAGCGAATCATGCAGAACGCCACTTCTGAAATGCTAAGCCACTAACGCCCCTTCTCACTCTGTCCTAGTTATACATGCCCTGAATGATTACGGTAGGTATGCTTCTGCTTGACATCCTACTGACCCACAGCGCTGTTCGACCCCACGAAACAGGCATTGCACTCACTCAAACTCTCAAGGCAAACAAGAAGCCGCTTCCAGGTGCAGGCAGCCCTCTCCCTTAAACCTTCCGTTCCGTCTTGCGCAAACTGCCAACTGCAAGAAGCAGAAAGAAGGAAATGCAGGAAAAGAAGAAAGGACGAAGCAAAACAAAATAGAAAAGAAGGAAGACGGACAACGGGCGGTTCGCCGTCCAAGTGGCTGCAACTCCACGGGGAAGCCCGCGGCCTCTCCGCTGGGCGCGGAGCCCCAGCAGATCCGGAACCCGAGCGGAGTGGAGGCGGCGGAACCAAAGACGTACATTCCGGAGGTGCCGTTGGTGGACCTCTCCCAACAAAGCAAACAGCATCCAAAAGCTGAAAAGGGCAGACCCCCTCAAGCAAAAGGACTACGGGTGCTTTCTCTCGCATCAATATGTGGCACCCACGAAAAAAAAATGGAAAAAATGGCGATCAACATCTAAGCGGCGCGGGGGACGCGGGGTTCGCGAGGCCCGGGATCTCGAGGGCGCTGGCGCTGCCGCAGCGCCCGGAGTTTGCGATGATCAGCACCTGCCAGTTCCGAACCTTCCCACTGTTCAAACGGTTGGGTTGAACCCAAGAAGTGACCCAAACCCGTGAGGCAAAAAAGTTTGAAGAAACAGCATGGACGGAATGGGCACATGTGGAGCACTGCGTGTGATTCGTGTATTGTACCTTCTTTACAAAAGTCGTGCTAGAATGCCTATCCAGTCAAATATACTGACGAGTCTGCCTCTGTTCCCGTTGAAGCGTGTGTGGTGTGGCACGATGACGTAATATGTTGAGAGAGGCCACCTTACGGACCTACGAGCGACAAAGCAAACCCTCTTAAGCTCCCAGCATGCCAGAGTGCATTATCCTCAGCGCACTTGAAGATGGAAACAAGCAAGTCCAAACAATGTTGCTGAAAACATGTGTGGCGGACAGGTTTAAGGACAGACCTTTGTGCAATGGAGCACGTTTAACTCCATGATATGCAACCAAGCGACAAGATAGAGTGATCATTGCTCAGCAAAGAAATCTTTGCGGCATGGCCAAGATCCTTGCTGAGGAAAAGGATTGCTGGAAATGAAGGGTAGATGTTGCATCCGACGACGGCAATCAAGCAAAGCCAAGAGCAGCTATCCTCGAAAACTGTCTAGGTCAAACGAGCTGCCTGAAGCCGCACAGCAGAACAAAAGCGTGTGACCAAGACTGGACCTCGTTGCATCTGCTATGCAAGTGACAGAAAAGGCATGAGGCCCAAAGGACTTCAAAAGGTCTACCTTGTTACGCGCATTGCACATTGAACACCTCTTTTTGCAATGCCCCTGTTGACGTAACATTCTGCAATGCACAGCAAAGAAAAACTAGGGGCAAATCAAAATTAGGATCGGGAACCCAGGCATAAGACATGGGCAAACACTGGCAAAAACCCTGCTTCGGGTTCTATGCTACAATGATTGCCAGCATTGCTGGGTACGGTAGCGCGATGTCGCCATGATGGTTGACATAAACTCCCCTGCAACCATGTCCACCAGCACTCGACTGAATGTTCTATCATATGTTTTACTCCCATTTGGCGACTCGTAGCGCAACTGACCAAATCTAAACCTCCAGGCATGCACGACCTTCTGGGCCCAGCCTGGCTGGAAGGCAAAATGCCGCTGCCCAGCACAGCGACGCTGCCTGAAGCGAAGCGAAGCGCGAAGGGATGGCAGTCGTCTGAGGGCTCGGGTTGATTCAGACTTCTGTGGGGCTGTGTGGGTGTATGCTTTTTGGGATTGATTTGGCAACTTTCAAAGACAAACCCATGTTGCAAGTTAAACAACACTGTGGTAAACCGTGGCTGTTTTTCCTTGTTCCCCGCGCGCGCAATATTTCGAGAACCAACCATCTCAAAAGAGCACGCAGCACACATATCGTCATGGTTTCCTGAGACCAAGAGCGGTGAGATCGCCATCGATGGAGCAAAGGAATGATTGCCAACCGTGATTGCAAGTCCACAGAAGAATGAAGAAAACGGCAAACACAATTGCTTGTTTGCTGCGAAGCATGTTGAGCCTAACCAGCTGATGTGCGAGCTCAATTGTGCAGTGAAGAAGGAGTCGTGCTGCAATTAATTACTGTATCGCAGATCCAACGTGAGAGAAACGAAGCGGTGCCAAGTACCTTAATGTTGTCCCGTGTCCCAGCCCAGCTGCAAGTGCGACCAGGAACGCAGTCCACGATCGCAGTAAGCCGTATCCTGGGCTCCGGTTGCCGCACAAAAGGGACTGAAATCAACTTGCCCCAATTCCTTGTGGCCAATCCTGGCCATATGGTCCAGTTCCCCATCCTTGCATGTTCATTCTGCCGGTTGTCCTTTTCTTGGTGGGGACTGACCTTTCCCAGGTGCGCAGGCATGTGATGGTATGAAAGGGCACACTTCTCTCGCCCTCCATCCCCATGGCCGGTAAGAGTCCACAAGAAGTCGGGGTCGATCTCCACCTTGAAGTCGGAAGATTCGGAGCCAGTCGGATCATGAGCCCAGCAGATCCTATGGGACGCGCCAGACTTGCCCTTGGCCAAGCCGAAGGAGTACAGGTTGTAGCTCCCAAATAGATCCTCCGAGGCTCCGCGCCGGGCACGAACTGATCTGGCATTGACTTTCAACCAACCCATGGTGAGCTCTCATGCTTTGCAGGAGTGAATGTTTGACATGTGTGGAGTAGTACGGCGAAAAGAAGTGTATCATCTAGATGTTCTGTGGTCATGCAAGACTAACAATGATTTCCGGGGCATCCTCTTCTTCCAAGGGCTGGCATTCTTTGCCGCAAGTGCAAGCATCCCTTCCAGCCGTCCTGGCCAGCGGCGGCTGGATTGCTGAAATTCCACCGACCATCCAAGGCAGGCAGGTTGGAGTCCCCGCATCGTCCCGCCGAGCTTTCAACGAGCAGAACCTTGTTGCTGGCGGCCAAGCCGATGCCACTGATGTTGATGACGCAGGGGAAGTTCCTGGTCTGAGCGCAAGACTGGAGCAACACCCTGAAAACCCTGACCCGATTGTCTGCTGCATGAGTGGTCTTGTGGCACGGGTATTGCTGTTAGCAGGGCAAGCCAGGGTCCCAAGTAGGTGGCATCTCCCAAGAACTGGCCCAAGAATTCGGGCAGAGCCGCAGAAAGCACTCGAAGTCCATGGCCAAAGGTCCCAACATCATGAGATAGCCGGCGTCCAACGGATACTCCTCGCCCGGCGTGCTGTTGGTTGGATCGTAGCTCCAGCAGAGCCTCCGGGACTCCGGGATCTGATGACATGGCCGACATGGCCTACCATCCGGCTGAACAAGAACTCCCAAGCCTCAAGGCCAATGGATCCATCTACCCACATGTTACCTAGCCGAGATGGTGTTGTTCTTTGCCACAAGCCAAGGTGGGGTACCAGGAAAGAGAGGACGCTAGCAACCTAGAGAGCAAGTCCAGGCATGTTCAACCCTGCCCACAGCCTGTAGACACCTGGCCCGGGCTCGTCCACTCCCACATCTGTCGCCCCTCTCGTTGGCTGGCCCAAATCCCAGGTATGCACCGGCCGGTAGCTGGCCTGAACCGGGCAGGACTTGCTGTGTCCGCCATCGCCTTCAATTACGGTGTGCCATTCAGCAATTGCCATCTAGCCATCACTCGAATTCGCAAACCTGTGAACTCCCGGCCAAACTACGAGAGGTTCCGAGCTGCACCCAAATGTGTGGCGGTTTTTATTCCCTTTGATTATTCCCTTTAAAATAAACCACCACTCAAATGTCCCAGCCCCTCACGGGAAAATGCTTCAGCCCTCGCCTTGTGCCCGTCGCTGCGACTGCAGCCCACCTTGGGGTTGCTCAGCCCTTCGAAGGCCGCCAGGTGCCTCGTCCCACGCGCGGGCAACCCGGGCAGCCCGGGCAACCCGGGCAGCCCGGGCAACCCGGGTGTCGGGAAACCAAACGGACACCCTGGGGCCCGGGTCCCCTGAGTTTGAGACAAAGGGCGACTCCACATGCCTTCCTGGCTTCCCAGCCACCAAAAAGCCAAGCTCAAGTGTGGAAAAAGGCAACATGGTCCCTCATACCGGTCAGCACTTGAGCTCTGTTGCCCTGATTGTGCCAAGGCACTCGAGCGCAAAGGAACAGGTGTCGTCCTTTGCCGGCTGCCAGTATCTCTCTCGCTGTCTCGCGCTCTCACTCTCTCTCTCTCTCTCTCTCTCTCTATCGCGGTGGGTATCCTGACAACCCACACCATGCCTGTGTTCAAAGCAAATGGCTCGCCACTCTGCAGCCCCCGCAAACCAGTCTGGGGTCAAGCCACGCTTTCTAAGCCGCCAGATTTCTTGCAAACAGCATGTGCTCAAAACCCTCTCAGTCTTCTCCTTCCGCACCACCGCCAGGCCATTGAAGCTCCGCATGGATGTGCCGTTGAGCCGTGCCAAGCACGGCTCCCCAAGGGCGCAGAAGACTTCGCCCACGAGGTCACAGGCGCTGGGGTTGAAGCCGCAAACGGGCTCCGAGGCATTGGTAATGGCCACCAAGGAGGGGAAGGACACGGAGAGGTCAGCGCCCAGGGCATACTGCAGCATGCCTGAGAAAACCAACGTGAACCAAACTGACAAATGTCTTGGAGCCAGCTCTCAAGGACTCGCTTCCTCTCTGGCTGCTTTTGGAGGTGCAAAGAAGTTCCACGTGGCAATCGGAGAGATGGCTCATGCCAACAAATGCTTTTCGCTTGTGGAGACTGTCGTTCAGTCACTAAAGCCAAAAGCCATGCTCACATTGGCATCAAGGGTGCTGAGGATCTGAGGCCACCTTTGCTACAGCCCTAGCACAGCCAGCCCATAGCATGATTGTGCGAGCGCTGTGAAGAGACCAAGCCAATGACCTATTCACAACCCCGAAGGAAATCGCCACAAGCTGCCCACATGCTGCCAGAAACCTACACGGCCATCGCCCACTCCCAGCATTGCACAACAAAACGTCGGACCTGCCAATCAGACATCTAAGGAGGTCCTTCATGCAAGCTCAAGCGGCCTTGCTCGGACACCAACTGCGAATGTGAGAAACGGTTGACGTCTCGAGTCTCATCCTCAAAGCAGGCCGACTCACTTTTCAAGCTAGACTTAAACATCTTGCAGCAACACACCCAAGCTCATCTACACCGAGCCCAACGTTTCAGTGACCTTACATCCGTCAGCTAGCAACCAAGTGGCAACCAATCACAGAACCCATCAAGACAAGCCATAACAGAGCCTTCTCACATTCTCCTGCAAGCTGCCCACATGCTGCCAAACAACTACAAGGCCATCACCCACTCCCAGCATTGCACAACTAAACATCGGTCCTGCCAATCAGACATCTAAGGAGGTCCTTCATGCAAGCTCAAGCGGCCTTGCTCGGACACCAACTGCGAATGTGAGAAACGGTTGACGTCTCGAGTCTCATCCTCAAGCAGGCCGACTCACTTTTCAAGCTAAACTTAAACATCTTGCAGCAACACACAAAAGCTCATCTACACCGAGCCCAACGATTCAGTGACCTTACATCCGTCAGCTAGCAACCAAGTGGCAACCAATCACAGGACCCATCAAGACAAGCCATAACACAGCCTTCTCACATTCTCCTGCAAGCTGCCCACATGCTGCCAAACAACTACAAGGCCATCACCCACTCCCAGCATTGCACAACTAAACATCAGTCCTGCCAATCAGACATCTAAGGAGGTCCCTCATGCAAGCACAAGCGGCCTTGCTCGGACACCAACTGCGAATGTGAGAAACGGTTGACGTCTCGAGTCTCATCCTCAAAGCAGGCCGACTCACTTTTCAAGCTAGACTTAAACATCTTGCAGCAACACACAAAAGCTCATCTACACCGAGCCCAACGTTTCAGTGACCTTACATGCATCAGCTAGCAACCAAGTGGCAACCAATCACAGGACCCATCAAAACAAGCCATAACAGAGCCTTCTCACATTCTCCCGCAAGCTGCCCACATGCTGCCAAACAACTACAAGGCCATCACCCACTCCCAGCATTGCACAATCAAACATCGGTCCTGCCAATCAGACATCTAAGGAGGTCCCTCATGCAAGCACCAGCGGCCTTGCTCGGACACCAACTGCGAATGTGAGAAACGGTTGACGTCTCGAGTCTCATCCTCAAAGCAGGCCGACTCACTTTTCAAGCTAGACTTAAACATCTTGCAGCAACACACCCAAGCTCATCTACACCGAGCCCAACGATTCAGTGACCTTACATCCGTCAGCTAGCAACCAAGTGGCAACCAATCACAGGACCCATCAAGACAAGCCATAACAGAGCCTTCTCACATTCTCCCGCAAGACAAGGCCATCACCCACTCCCAGCATTGCACAACTAAACATCAGTCCTGCCAATCAGACATCTAAGGAGGTCCCTCATGCAAGCACAAGCGGCCTTGCTCGGACACCAACTGCGAATGTGAGAAACGGTTGACGTCTCGAGTCTCATCCTCAAAGCAGGTTGACTCACCTTTCAAGCTAGACTTCAACATCTTGAAGCAACACACCCCAGCTCATCTACACCGAGCCCAACATTTCAGTGACCCTACATCCATCCGATAGCAACCAAGTGGCAACCAATCACAGGACCCATCAAGACAAGCCATAACAGAGCCTTCTCACATTCTCCCGCAAGCTGCCCACACGCTGCCAAACAACTACACGGCCATCATCACCCACTCCCTTGCACAACCAAACATCGGTCCTGCCAATCAGACATCTAAGGAGGTCCTTCATGCAAGCACAAGCGGCCTTGCTCGGACACCAACTGCGAATGTGAGAAACGGTTGACGTCTCGAGTCTCATCCTCAAAGCAGGTTGACTCACCTTTCAAGCAAAACTCAAACATCTTGCAGCAACACACCCAAGCTCATCTACACCGAGCCCAACGATTCGGTGACCTTACATCCGTCAGCTAGCAACCAAGTAGCAACCAATCACAGGACCCATCAAGACAAGCCATAACAGAGCCTTCTCACATTCTCCCGCAAGCTGCCCACACACGCTGCCAAAACTACACGGCCATCACCCACTCCCAGCATTGCACAACTAAACATCGGTCCTGCCAATCAGACATCTAAGGAGGTCCTTCATGCAAGCTCAAGCGGCCTTGCTCGGACACCAACTGCGAATGTGAGAAACGGTTGACGTCTCGAGTCTCATCCTCAAAGCAGGCCGACTCACCTTTCAAGCTAGACTTAAACATCTTGCAGCAACACACAAAAGCTCATCTACACCGAGCCCAACGTTTCAGTGACCTTACATCCATCAGCTAGCAACCAAGTGGCAACCAATCACAGGACCCATCAAGACAAGCCATAACAGAGCCTTCTCACATTCTCCCGCAAGCTGCCCACATGCTGCCAAACAACTACAAGGCTATCACCCACTCCCAGCATTGCACAACTAAACATCGGTCCTGCCAATCAGACATCTAAGGAGGTCCTTCATGCAAGCTCAAGCGGCCTTGCTCGGACACCAACTGCGAATGTGAGAAACGGTTGACGTCTCGAGTCTCATCCTCAAAGCAGGCCGACTCACCTTTCAAGCTAGACTTAAACATCTTGCAGCAACACACCCAAGCTCATCTACACCGAGCCCAACGTTTCAGTGACCTTACATCCGTCAGCTAGCAACCAAGTGGCAACCAATCACAGGACCCATCAAGACAAGCCATAACAGAGCCTTCTCACATTCTCCCGCAAGCTGCCCACACGCTGCCAAACAACTACAAGGCCATCACCCACTCCCAGCATTGCACAACAAAACATCGGTCCTGCCAATCAGACATCTAAAAAGTCCTTCATGCAAGCACAAGCGGCCTTGCTCGGACACCAACCGCGAATGTGAGAAACGGTTGACGTCTCGAGTCTCATCCTCAAAGCAGGCCCACTCACTTTTCAAGCTAGACTTAAACATCTTGCAGCAACACACCCAAGCTCATCTACACCGAGCCCAACGATTCAGTGACCTTACATCCGTCAGCTAGCAACCAAGTGGCAACCAATCACAGGACCCATCAAGACAAGCCATAACACAGCCTTCTCACATTTTCCCGCAAGCTGCCCACATGCTGCCAAACAACTACAAGGCCATCACCCACTCCCAGCATTGCACAACTAAACATCGGTCCTGCCAATCAGACATCTAAGGAGGTCCTTCATGCAAGCTCAAGCGGCCTTGCTCGGACACCAACTGCGAATGTGAGAAACGGTTGACGTCTCGAGTCTCATCCTCAAAGCAGGTTGACTCACCTTTCAAGCAAGACTTCAACATCTTGAAGCAACACACAAAAGCTCATCTACACCGAGCCCAACGTTTCAGTGACCTTACATCCGTCAGCTAGCAACCAAGTGGCAACCAATCACAGGACCCATCAAGACAAGCCATAACAGAGCCTTCTCACATTCTCCCGCAAGCTGCCCACACGCTGCCCAAAAACTACACGGCCATCATCACCCACTCCCAGCATTGACAGCATTGAACAGCAAAACATCGGTCCTGCCAATCAGACATCTAAGGAGGTCCTTCATGCAAGCGCAAGCGGCCTTGCTCGGACACCAACTGCGAATGTGAGAAACGGTTGACGTCTCGAGTCTCATCCTCAAAGCAGGCCGACTCACCTTTCAAGTTCGACTTTAACGTCTTGCAGCAACACACCTAACCTCATCTACCCCGAGCCCAACGCTTTCAATGCGCAATCAGTCCACCGGTTGCACACAATCAGCTGGCAACCAAGCCGGAACCAATAATAGGACCCATCAACCAAAAGCCATAACACAACCTGCCCACATGCTGCCAACAAACTACGCTGCCATCACCCACTGCAAGCATTGCGCAACAAAACAGCGGTCCTGCCAATCAGACATCTAAGGAGGTCCTTCATGCAAGCGCAAGCGGCCTTGCTCGGACACCAACTGCGAATGTGAGAAACGGTTGACGTCTCGAGTCTCATCCTCAAAGCAGGCCGACTCACCTTTCAAGTTCGACTTAAACGCTTTGCAGCAATACACCTAAGCTCATCTAGACCGAGCCCAACGTTTGCAATGCTCAATCAGTCCACCGGTTGCACACAATCAGCTGGCAACCAAGCCGGAACCAATCACAGGACCCATCAACCACGAGCCATAACAAATCCTTCTCACATTCTCACACAAAGCCTTCTCACATTCTCCCACAAGCTGCCCACACGCTGCCTCACCCACTCCCAGCATTGACAGCATTGAACAGCAAAACATCGGTCCTGCCAATCAGACATCTAAGGAGGTCCTTCATGCAAGCGCAAGCGGCCTTGCTCGGACACCAACTGCGAATGTGAGAAATGGTTGACGTCTCGAGTCTCGTCCTCAAAGCAGGCCGACTCACCTTTTAAGTTCCACTTAAACGTCTTGCAGCAACACACCTAAGCTCATCTACACCGAGCCCAACGTTTTCAATGCGCAATCAGTCCACCGGCTGGCAACCAAGTGGCAACCAATTACACGGCCCATCAACCACATGCCATAACAAAGCCTTCTCACATTGTCCCACAAGCTGCCCACACGCTGCCTCACCCACTCCCAGCATTGACAGCATTGAACAGCAAAACATCGGTCCTGCCAATCAGACATCTAAGGAGGTCCTTCATGCAAGCGCAAGCGGCCTTGCTCGGACACCAACTGCGAATGTGAGAAACGGTTGACGTCTCGAGTCTCGTTTTTAAAGCAGGCCGACTCACCTTTTAAGTTCCACTTAAACGTCTTGCAGCAACACACCTAAGCTCATCTACACCGAGCCCAACGTTTTCAATGCGCAATCAGTCCACCGGCTGGCAACCAAGTGGCAACCAATCACAGGGCCCATCAACCACAAGCCATAACAAAGCCTTCTCACATTCTCCCACAAGCTGCCCACACGCTGCCTCACCCACTCCCAGCATTGACAGCATTGAACAGCAAAACATCGGTCCTGCCAATCAGACATCTAAGGAGGTCCTTCATGCAAGCGCAAGCGGCCTTGCTCGGACACCAACTGCGAATGTGAGAAATGGTTGACGTCTCGAGTCTCGTCCTCAAAGCAGGCCGACTCACCTTTTAAGTTCCACTTAAACGTCTTGCAGCAACACACCTAAGCTCATCTACACCGAGCCCAACGTTTTCAATGCGCAATCAGTCCACCGGCTGGCAACCAAGTGGCAACCAATTACACGGCCCATCAACCACATGCCATAACAAAGCCTTCTCACATTGTCCCACAAGCTGCCCACACGCTGCCTCACCCACTCCCAGCATTGACAGCATTGAACAGCAAAACATCGGTCCTGCCAATCAGACATCTAAGGAGGTCCTTCATGCAAGCGCAAGCGGCCTTGCTCGGACACCAACTGCGAATGTGAGAAACGGTTGACGTCATGACTCTCATCCTCAAAGCAGGCCGACTCACCTTTTAAGTTCCACTTAAACGTCTTGCAGCAACACACCTAAGCTCATCTACACCGAGCCCAACGTTTTCAATGCGCAATCAGTCCACCGGCTGGCAACCAAGTGGCAACCAATCACAGGGCCCATCAACCACAAGCCATAACAAAGCCTTCTCACATTCTCCCACAAGCTGCCCACACGCTGCCTCACCCACTCCCAGCATTGACAGCATTGAACAGCAAAACATCGGTCCTGCCAATCAGACATCTAAGGAGGTCCTTCATGCAAGCGCAAGCGACCTTGCTCGGACACCAACTGCGAATGTGAGAAACGGTTGACGTCTTGACTCTCATCCTCAAAGCAGGCCGACTCACCTTTTAAGTTTCTTAAACGTCTTGCAGCAACACACCTAAGCTCATCTACACCGAGCCCAACGTTTTCAATGCGCAATCAGTCCACCAGCTGGCAACCAAGTGGCAACCAATCACAGGGCCCATCAACCACAAGCCATAACAAAGCCTTCTCACATTGTCCCACAAGCTGCCCACACGCTGCCTCACCCACTCCCAGCATTGACAGCATTGAACAGCAAAACATCGGTCCTGCCAATCAGACATCTAAGGAGGTCCTTCATGCAAGCGCAAGCGGCCTTGCTCGGACACCAACTGCGAATGTGAGAAACGGTTGACGTCTTGACTCTCATCCTCAAATCAGACAAACGTACTGTCAAGTCAGATTGAAATGGCTTGCTTTCTCTCAGGCCCCCGATTTGCCCGTGCGCCTTGGTAGATGGAAGTGTGGGAGGTGAAGCCGGTAATTCCTGGAGGCTGTTGGGAATACTCCACCAATGCTTTGCCAATGCTGACCACGTGCACAGAAGAGAAAAGGAAAACAATAATGCAGAGAGATGTAGAAATCAAACAGACTTTGTGCAATGGCGCCTCACCTCATATTCTGTTTGTCTCACTCTCCATGGTGGATTTAGGGAAGACATCAAGTGCACAAGCATGACAATGGAGTGCTGAGACTTTTGCTTGAGGACAATATAGTAGAAGAAAACCAGCAATGAAAAGAGCGCAAGCAGGTAGCCAAGGTGTTCAGGTGGCCTCCCCCATGCCGGCTCTGCAAGGCCATCAGATGGATCAATCTCTCATGAATGAACGATTATGCCATGCAGGTTGGGAAATCAAGAACCAACCTATCCCCAGGAGTGAAGCCATGCGTCTGCAGCGCTAAACACACTGCCAGGTATACAATGTTCTGCCAAAACTGCCTGTCAGCTTTATATCAGCCCTCAAAATCACAATAGAACACCCGACGCTGTTGGACTTTAGGGCAGTGCCCCTGACAAGCCTCAACCCACCCACATCATAAGCCAGCCCACGAAAATGACTACCAGGTCCCTCCCATTGCCATCCGTGCCCCGGACCTGGCTGCCAGGAGCTGCCCAGAGCCATCTCCATCCTGGCCAGGCGCGCCGGCTCCGGGCCGGCCCCCAGCACAATCCCCGCCAGCGAGGTGAAGTCTGCGTCCGCACTGCAGGAGCCCGCCGCCGCTACCATCAGCTCCTCGGCGAGCGGAAGAGTGAAACGAGCTCAGATGAGTTTGCGGCTGAGGAAAAGAAACCCTCTCGCTGAAATACCCAATTTTGAGACACACCGCAAGTTTTGACAACCCCCCAACTTTTGGATGGTATCACAGTCAGTTAAACCCAGGGCGGTCTCGGCTCTCACCCGCTCCACAAATTGTCAACTGCCAACACTCTTGAGCCAGTCAAAAAAGCTTCGGCCCGCATACAGGAATCGTGCGCGGGCGCAACGGCCAGGGCAAGAAAAACATGCATAACAGGCCGAGTAAATAAAGGCCGCCGCATACTCCTGAGAAGAGGCATGACAGTCATCTTGCCTCACACCTTTCCGGATCAAAAGCCTAGCCCAGGCGCCGTGAGGCAGTAGCAGGCCTTGTAGAAGCCGTGGGTCTCGATGGTCAGCACCTGCTCTCCGCACCCGCAACTGGCGCCCCCCTTGATGATGCGGACCTCCAGGTCCGGGCTGAAGGTGCAGTTGGTGCCCGTGGGGCACACAAAGTAGTTCCTCAGGCGCAGGGGTTATGGTGAAAGCCCAGTTGCTAAGCACACGTTCCTTCCTGGGAACTGGGAAGTGAGAGCCGTGCGAGCTTGTCCTTCTGAGTTGGCGCTTCCAAATTCATTCCCGTGCATTCAGGTGCCGAATCACAACGGCCCCGGAATTGCTGTTGCCATTGGATCGCACTACTTTTCAAAGATACGGGGCCCTGCTCAATAGTGTGGCTGAATGACTAAAAGTTGCCGCATAGACCTTCTGTCCATGGTGAAACATATTACACAAAACGACACGAGTTGCTCGGGATAAAATCTGGCAATGGGCGGAAACATGCACCTCTCAAAAACAAGCCAAACGCATCCATTCCCCATGGAGGGTTCTGCTTAGGCGCACGGGGCCCGACAGCGAGAGCCCGGACAAGAGCGTGGGCGCCACTGCCAGCTCCAGAATCCGCACCAGCTGCGCCTGTGACAAGAATTTCTTTCCGTCAGCCCGTCTAACTGTTTTCAGGCCCTTGCCTGCGGTTGATGGGCCGTGCCCTGTTAAAACAAGCAAAGGATGCTCTCCCTTTACATTAGTTGCAAAAGCAGTCCGACCAGAAGTTCAGAAGCTGCTCTCCTTATTTTGGAGGATGGGTGTTGATGTTGGGCGATGAGTATCCTCTCCAGCAACCTGGGACCTGACCAGCTTGTTACATTGAAAGGAACAAAGTCAGGTGCAAAGTGGTGGAACCCTCAGATTCCAGCATGGGGGAAGCGTGAATTGCACAAAGATTCAAACACCCAAGTTATGGTTGTGAAAACCACGATCCAACATGGCCTACAAACCAGTCATGCTTGGAGTTGGTTCATGTTTCTTCCCAGCATTGTCGCTCGAACAGTGGAGTGACTGTGCGGTCCCAATCTTGCTCCCATACTGTATGGGAATGAGATAGGTCCCGAAGTGAACCGGAGGCATGCATTGCAATCACCAGGGGCGGCGCGAGCTTGTTCATCCCTGTGGCAGTTTGTCATGATTTGGTCGCTTGTACTTGACCGCGGTGGGGAACAGGTGCAACCTCCCTTTGGGAATCATATGTTGGGAATCGCAAGGCATTGTTCCCGTACGTGTTGATCTTCTAGCCGGCAATGGTTCTGAGTGATGAATGTCCGCGTAGGCCATCTGGCAATACCGATATGTGGCTGTAGATCTCAACCAGAAGACGATTTCCATGTTGCTGTTTGCGAGACTGCTATTATGCATGATACACACCCACGGGTGCTGAGCTATGGATTAGAACACAAACATGTCTACTGGTGTGCGCAAATAACCGCTACAACAAGTCACAAAAGGTCAAACTTGCAAACGCTCCGGTAACAAGCGGTCCATCGTCATCCCTCTTTCGTCGCTCTTCGCTGCACCTTCAGCACATGCGCGTCCGGAGATTTCTCAAGGCCACCGGAGAAGGAAAAGTCTGCATCGGCGGTGGCTTCGGCGTAGCGCTGCACCCAGTTGTCAGCTTGAAACTCGGTGTCCTTTGCTCGCAACGGCAGAGGCTACATCTAAAACCATAGAGCTTCTCACAAACCGAGTCTTGCGTGACAAAAACAAAGGCCCCCCGCAAAAGCTTGGTTCCCCTCACAGCTCCCTCTCAAAGTTTGAAAAGGCTGGTTCTCTTCACAAGGACTGCTGCACGAGTCTCGTTGGCACAGGTCAGCCAAAGCTTCCCAGATCCCTGGGAGTCTGGCCAAAGCCAGCCCCCGATGCCGTAGGCTGTGGCCGCGCAGTCCACGGCGTGCCCAGGGTCCGATCCCTCCACGAAGCTGAGGTTCACCCGTAAGGACACGCTGCAGCGATCCTGGCTCTTGTCGCCGCCGATCTGGCCCAGCGTCTTGAGCATGCTCTCGCCACCTGGAGGCTTGCGCGTCAAGGGGGAAAACTAGACGACGAGTGGCCCGGAAGCATAGAGGCAAGTTGATGCAGGTGAGGTAACTCTCGCAAAGTTAGCATGAGGAGTTGGCAGGCGAAGCAATTCTCAAAAAGTTGGCATGAGAAGCTGGCAGGTTAAGTAACTCTCGAATAGTTGGCTGGCAAAGTTGGCGGGTGAAGTAATTCTCGCAAAGTTGACATGAGAAGTTGGCAGGCGAAGTAACTCAAGAGAAAAGTTGGCATGAGAAGTTGGCAGGTGAAATAACTCTCAAAGAGTTGGCATGAGAAGTTGGCAGGTGAAGTAACTCTCGAAAAGTTGGCGTGAGAAGCTGGCAGGTGAAGTAATTCTCGAAAAGTTGGCACGAGAAGATGGCGCGTGAAGTAACTCTCGAAAAGTTGGCGTGAGAAGCCGGCAGGTGAAGTAACTTTCGAAAAGTTAGCATGAGAAGTTGGCAGGCGAAGTAATTCTCGAAAAGTTGGCGCGAGAAGTTGGCAGGCGAAGTAACTCTCGAAAAGTTGGCAGGCGATGTTGGCAGGTGAAGTACCTCTCGAAAAGTTGGCATGAGAAGCTGGCAGGTGAAGTAATTTTTCGAAAAGTTGCCACGAGAGGTTGGCAGATAAAGTATTTCTCGAAAAGTTGGCATGAGAAGTTGGCAGGTGAAGTAATTCTCGAAAAGTTGGCAGGTGAAGTTGCCACGAGAGGTTGGCAGGTAAAGTATTTCTCGAAAAGTTGGCATGAGAAGTTGGCAGGTAAAGTAATTCTCGAAAAGTTGGCATGAGAAGCTCGCAGGTGTAGTAACTCTCGAAAAGTTGGCATGATAAGCTCGCAGGTGAAGTAACTCCTCGAAAAGTTGGCACGAGAAGTTGGCAGGTGAAGTAACTCTCGAAAAGGTGGCATGAGAAGCTGGCAGGTGAAGTAATTCTCGAAGTTTCGGCATGAGAAACTGGCAGGTGAAGTAATTAACCCTCAAAAAGCTGGAGCGGCGGAGGCGCTCCGCGTGCTACATTTGCAATTTACAGTTGCGATTTTCCAGCCATTTGTATCTAAAAGTTGCGATTTTCCAGCCGGAGCTGCGGGAGCACGCTCCGCGTACTACGTCTGTACTTAAAAAGTGCGATTTTCCAGCCGGAGCTGCAGCAGCCTCCGCGTACTACGTCTGTACTTAAAAGTTGCGATTTTCCAGCCGGAGCTGCAGGAGCACGCTCCGCGTACTACGTTTGTACTTAAAAGCTGCGATTTTCAAGCCGGAGCTGCCGCGGACCAGGGGGGAATCGAACCCGGGACCGCGGGATTGCGAAAGCAGGCGCGCACACCACGAGACAACTTCCAAAAGCCGTTTCGCGAGCAAGAAAATCGCACGGCGCCACAGCGAGAGCGCTTCGACACGCACGATCTCCGCAGAGGGTTCATCGGGCTCAAGACAGATGCGCACGGCGCCACAGCGAGAGCGATCCGACACGCACGATCCCCGCAGAGGGTTCATCGGGCTCAAGACAAATTCGCACGGCGCCACAGCGAGAGCGCTTCGACACGCACGATCTCCGCAGAGGGTTCGCCAAGGTCAAGACAAATTCGCACGGCGCCACAGCGAGAGCGCTTCGACACGCACGATCTCCGCAGAGGGTTCGCCAAGGTCAAGACAAATTCGCACGGCGCCACAGCGAGAGCGCTTCGACACGCACGATCTCCGCAGAGGGTTCGCCAAGGTCAAGACAAATTCGCACGGCGCCACAGCGAGAGCGCTTCGACACGCACGATCTCCGCAGAGGGTTCGCCAAGGTCAAGACAAATTCGCACGGCGCCACAGCGAGAGCGCTTCGACACGCACGATCTCCGCAGAGGGTTCGCCAAGGTCAAGACAAATTCGCACGGCGCCACAGCGAGAGCGCTTCGACACGCACGATCTCCGCAGAGGGTTCGCCAAGGTCAAGACAAATTCGCACGGCGCCACAGCGAGAGCGCTTCGACACGCACGATCTCCGCAGAGGGTTCGCCGGTCAAGACAAATTCGCACGGCGCCACAGCGAGAGCGCTTCGACACGCACGATCTCCGCAGAGGGGTGCGTTTCGTAAGCTCCCGTCGGGCCTACCCCCGCCATAAAAAGAAGAAGAATTAAGAGTCGAGATGTGAAGGTAGAACAGAAAAGTTAGCTTGTGTTTTTAGGATAGTGAAGTAACACCCGACAAATTAGCTTGTGCTTTTAGTAGAATGAGATAACAGCCGAAAAGTTGACATGAGAAGTTGGCAGGTGAAGTAACTCTCAAAAAGTTGACATGAGAAGTAGGCAGGTGAAGTAACTCTCGACAAGTTGGCATGAGAAGTTGGCAGGTGAAGTAACTCTCGACAAGTTGGCATGAGAAGTTGGCAGGTGAAGTAACTCTCGACAAGTTGGCATGAGAAGTTGGCAGGTGAAGTAACTCTCGACAAGTTGGCATGAGAAGTTGGCAGGTGAAGTTGGCAGCCGCTTTTAGAAGAAGAACCCTTCGCAATGCTTCCGGGAAAAAGGTATTCCAAGCTGGCACAGGGACCTGGTTGCAGATTCTCTGACTTCTGCCAGGCGATATGAAATTGAAACGTATTCTGGATCACAAAACAAGTGACGCCTGCAATCTGCTGCCTTCCACTTCGTGTCGATTTGAAAACAATGGTTGGGGGATCTGCCGCAACAAACTTCATTTGTAGGAGAGAGGCTCTCCCCATTCCAAACGGGGCAAAAGGAGAGTGCGCAAAGACAAATCGGAGGTGATTGACGAGCTGGTGGGGAGAATCTCGATCTTCCCGATGGACATATGCTCCACTTGTTTAGCGAGTCGGAAAACAGAGCGCCTGTGTGACCACATCCAAAAGGCCATTGTCCACAATAGTTATTTGACTTCTCACGGAGAACGCGACAAGTAGTGTTGGACATCTGGTGAGGACACATTCTACGACCCTGATCACAGAAGATATACGATCTGCCTTCACATCCCAGAACAAGAAACAAATGTCCCCGAAAAATGCATGCCGGCTCGGTCACAATCAAACAAAGTCCAAAGAGCTGATGCCATGTCACAGCCATCTGCTTGTAGCTCAACCCCATGTGGCCGATGGATGCGCTTGTGTTTTTGCTGTTGAGAATGTCTTCCATCAATCCCTCGAGCGTTCCGACCAGAAGGTAGACCCAATCTGAAGACCTGTGACAAATAGTTGCTGTTCCTGCAAATGCACTCATCAAGTTGCTGCAAGGGCCCGTTTTGCGGCATTTGGTTCCTGAAGAGTTCACCTCAAAACCTAGTACTCCGCATTCGCATTGGGGTCCTTCACATGAGATCCGAGATGGGCCTCACATGGGACCTCTAGGACGCAAAGCAGAAATGTTGTGAAAGGCCCAAATGATAGATGTTGATGTTTCGAGCTACATTCGCCCTGACACATCGCAAATTCCCCAGCAGGCCTACTGTAACGCCGGCAGCGACGTAGCCATCGTCCAAGTCGGAGAGCAGCTGTCCGACCTCTCACAGTGCGTCGTCAAATGGTCCAGCATCTCGTTGGAGAGAAGCTTTTCCGCGACTTAAACCCCCAAGACCCAATTGCAACTACGTTGGAGTTTCAGTTGGGTAGGTCGCAACATAGCAAAGAGCCTTCTTTGGCTGCTTGAGAAACGTGTCAAACTCTGCTGGAGCCCTCCAAATGGTCAATCTTGTTTGCTTCCCCTTAGAAATGGACAGAGGGCCCAAATCATCTCATACACACCAAAGGCACCAATTCTTGGGCCGCCCTGTCTTGTGGGGAGGGCTCATCGCGCTTTGTCGAGTCCTTGTCTCTGTTTTCAGCAGGGAATTTGGGAAAGGCCCACTTCCAACAATTCATGGACCCTCGTAGTGCCTGATGCAGTTATGCTTATATTCCCTGTGAAAAGCAAAAGGATTCCTCCCCTGAACCTGCCGTGCCAAAGGGTGTACTGCAAACCGTCAACAAAAGAATCGTCCGACCTTGTCCCAAACTTGTCATTTCACAAATTGTGCCGCTCCGAAGGAGACGCAGGGAGAAATCGAAACAGCTGAACCTCTGTGGGAACCCTGGCTCGAAGCTGCTCCAAACCACTCCGGAGCCTATCTGCGCAGTGACCCCCAAGCTTTCAGCCGGACTCAAAGACGATGACCAATCTTCTTGGTGCTCAGTAGGGAATGTGGGAATGAACCCAGGGGTGCTCTTAAAGTAAACCACAAGTCTTTTTGGGGCGAGCGAGTCACAGCTCTAAGCGCCCCCGCCAAGCCCGGGATGTCCTCGATGAGCAGTGTCCAGTCCACCCCCACGCGCGAGACCTCCGGGCGCGGGCGGGAAGCCAAGATGACTTCCAGCGTTTACCTGTCGGGTCATTGCCAATAATCTGTCTATATTAATATCATATGGATGTAATAGCAAAAAAAACAATCGCAATAACAATCACAATAAATGAATAACAAATCTAGGTCTAATTTAGATAGCTAGCCTGCCCAGCTGATCCTCTCGACTGATCCGCTCCACTACACTTCTCCTGTGCAGCCAACCCCCCCCCACGAAAACCAGGCCTTGAACCACCGCAAGGGAGCGGAAGGCACGTCTGGCAACGGGTAAGGCCTGGCCACTAATGAGAAAGCTCTACAAATTTTGTTGGTCTGACGTTGGCTTCCCTCGAAACAGTATCCAAACCACATGATGGCAGAACTGTCTGACTTGCTTTGCTACCTTTGAGTCAGGAAAGCTGAAACATGAGCACAAATGGAACAGCTGCATGAAGCAATTCCTGCTAGCTGACAAAATTTCCGCTGGTGGCAAACAGCCCTGCGATCTACCGCCTTCATCGTACAACTTGTCACAAAGCATTAGCACAACTCGTTGATCCTGGCAAGGCCTCGGCAGCTTGTGTGCAAGGCTAGCTTTGCAACGTGGCAACAGTAGTGCTTCCAAACTGACTTTGAGCACAGGTTTCAGCATCATTGGGGCCTCGTTTCATAACCTTGCGGTACGCACTCAACCCACCTGCTTTGCTGATGAAGAACCTCAGCTCGCACTCAAGAAGCCACAAAGACTCATGCTGGATTGGAAAGCTTGCTGATCCTCACAGGCATGGCTGACTATTAATTAATTCGGATCAGGCGCTTCCCACCCTCTGGCACATTGCGGACAAACATTTCTCTGAAGCTGTGCAACCTTCATGCAGCCTTCCAGTCGTGTCTAGCAACTTGGTCAAACACATCTTGCGTTGCTCGCCTCTTCCCTTGCCTAAGCCATCGCCGCGCGAACACGGCCAAGGCGCCACCCACTCGTTGCCGCGGCAGCTGAAGGACACATTAGGCGCAATGTCCCAGAGCTGCCTGCGGACACAGTGAAGCCACGCCAAAAAAGCAGCTTCTGCGCTCTTGGAGGCCAAAGCTATTGTGAGGGTATGACGCCAAGATGAAAGAACCCATCTGCCCGTGGTTGACATCCGAATGGGAAGAAAATTGTGCCCTTGCCATGAAGGGACCAGCACTTTGGCAAGCTTGCTGGCTTCATAGCAAGGCACTCTTGAGACTGTTTACTACATTGCAAAATTCCTGCTACGGTGTGGCAAGCTCACAATGTCACAATGCTTCTACCCGCAAGGAATTGGTTGTGGCCGTCATCAGCCGCCGTGAATCGACCACACACCGAACACGATACACTGAACAACAAGGCATATTGTGAGTTTGCAATGGTGAACCCAGTTTGACACAAACAAACAAACAAACAAACAAACAAACAACCAAGCAAGCAAACAAGCAAGCAAGCAAGCAAACAAAACAAACAAACAAACAAACAAAGAAACAAACAGACAAACAGACAGACAGACAGACAGACAGACAGACAGACAAACAAACAAACAAACAAACAACCACACACACACACACACACATGCAAGTGTTGAATACCTAGACATCTGAATCGAACCCAAGCTGTTGCCTTACTCAAGCAAGTGTAAGCCAAAAGATGCATCCCGTGTGTCTCTTTCAGTCGAGCAGCCCGTTCCATGCTACGCAGGAAGCCGGGCTTAGCAAATGCGGATCCGCCGCATCCCCAACCTCAGCGCGTGCCAAATCTGAGCACCCTGGAGGCCGAAATGAACCAAAGCATTTCCCACACCCGAAACATGGCAGCCTTTATTGATGGTTTAGAGTCTAAGAGCAGAAAACAAAACAAACAAACAAAAAACGAAAGAAGACTCGTATGTTAGCGGATATTACTTAAAACCAATTCCATGATAACCCTTATCTGTTTGCTTTTCTTGTGACTTACTGTCAGGACCTTTATTGGGGTTTTCCACAAAGGTTAAACAGAAAACGTGATAGGATACAAACAGAACACACGCAAGAAAGAGAAACAGGAGAGCGCTGCTATTGGCTGCTTTTTCAGCATGTTTGTGCTTTGTTTTCTTTTGCTGTTCTTTCTTCCTTCTGCTTTTGCACTTTGTGTTTCGCCCCCTACACCCTCCCTGAAACCCTCTCTTACCTCCTGCCGAGCCGCACAGCGGATGGCTCCGTACCCGCCTTCGTGGATGCGAGGGCTCACCCACCTCAGCCGTCTTCGTGGATCCGGGGGTCTCAACGGCTGGAAACGCGAGAAGAGAACGCGACGGAAACCGTTTGTACAAAACCCCCAACACAGGGTCGGTTCAGCTCATTTGAAGCCCCGCTGGCTCTTGCGTTGCCTGTGCAACGAAGCGTGAACCTGACTAGAAATGCGGGACAGGGGCATTGCCCCAAAGAATCTTGAAGCAACAGGCATGCTTAAGACGAGGCCTAACAGCAACTGCCCAAGTTGCAGTCAGCTTATCCGAGGCAAGGGCCAGCTAAGGGTGGCCTGGTCCCAGTAGATAATGGCTCCTGCCAAGGTCGGGTTTTGGAAGGCTGGCTTGGTGGCGCAGGCACGGGGCTCACAGCAAAGATGAATGCAACATCATGCAATGCGGCTCACACCTTGCAATCAAGCTGATTGCACAACGAAGAGGAGAAGGGATGGACGGGGATAAGAAGTTAAGAAGGCTTATAAAGATTAATGATGATGATACACACAAGCAGTACCTTGCGGACCAAGCGACCAGCTGGCGAATCTTCGGGTGCCAGACCATGTTGAGCAAACCCCTTTTTGACTTGACCCAACGGTGGATGAGCTACGTCAACCCTCGGAATCCCGGAAACGCCGGCCCTCCTGCGGCGTCCCGGTACACTGTGCGGCCCTGAAAGGTCTCCCCGGCCCTGGGCGCTGGCTGTCACTCTTGCGCCACTTGGCTCTCACGAGGTCCATCCAGTGGGAGAAACTGCTTCTTTCAAGCCAAACAAAGTTCAGTCCTTGCAAAGCAATGCCAGCTATCATCCTGATGAGAGGCCATGAGAGTGCATTGACATGGCGCATGTCAAGAGCTTACAGGCTGTGCGCCTTAAATTCTGAACACTGTGTTGATTAGTCCTGTGCCCAAACTCCCAAACTCTTGCACAGGCGCACCACAAAGAATCTCTGTTGCCCTCAGCTTTACTTGAATTGCACAGTATTCCCTGCCCATTCCATCTGGTTACTACCCCTGAGGACGCCAGCATCTGGACGTAGGTGCCATCCTTCATCGCCTGGTAGCTCGGCGCTCCTGTCAGACTGCAGCGCCGCACCCTGGCAAGGATGCGGAAGTGAAGAACCGTTCTGAGTGACTGTCAAACCTTCAGAGGAGCCCCTCATTGCCAATCGCAGGCTAAGAATGGTCCCCACTGTTTCTACACGTATATGTATAGATTACACATCCAAATATACATGTGCAGGCATCTTGTACAGTGAAAAAGTTTTCAAGCCAGCCGCCAAAATGTATGCCTGAAGCACCTGTTTTGATGGGCAGGCAGGCAGGCAGGCAGGCAGGCAGGCAGGCAGGCAGGCAGGCAGGCAGGCAGGCAGGCAGGCAGGCAGGCAGGCAGGCAGGCAGGCAGGCAGGCAGGCAGGCAGGCAGGCAGGCAGGCAGGCAGGCAGGCAGGCAGGGCAGGCAGGCAGGCAGGCAGGCAGGCAGGCAGGCAGGCAGGCAGGCAGGCAGGCAGGCAGGCAGGCAGGCAGGCAGGCAGGCAGGCAGGCAGGCAGGCAGGCAGGCAGGCAGGGCAGGCAGGCAGGCAGGCAGGCAGGCAGGCAGGCAGGCAGGCAGGCAGGCAGGCAGGCAGGCAGGCAGGCAGGCAGGCAGGCAGGCAGGCAGGCAGGCAGGCAGGCAGGCAGGCAGGCAGGCAGGCAGGCAGGCAGGCAGGCAGGCAGGCAGGCAGGCAGGCAGGCAGGCAGGCAGGCAGGCAGGCAGGCAGGCAGGCAGGCAGGCAGGCAGGCAGGCAGGCAGGCAGGCAGGCAGGCAGGCAGGCAGGCAGGCAGGCAGGCAGGCAGGCAGGCAGGCAGGCAGGCAGGCAGGCAGGCAGGCAGGCAGGCAGGCAGGCAGGCGGCGCTCAGCAGGCAGCCAAGCGCATCCTGACCTGCACCGCGCCTGTCATTGCTGCCCTGCAAGATCCAGCGAGTTGGGGCGCTCGCTGTCGTGTTGTACGGCATGGAGAAGGAAAACCTCAATTCACGAGATCTAGCAGTGCTCTCAAATCCAAAGTAGAAGCTCCTGCCACATTATAAGGCGGCGAGTGAATGGATGTTTGCGCTTCCCCCCACTTCCATTGCACAGCTCAGGGAATTTTACGAGTGCAATCATCTGGCCCTGCTCGGGAATCAATCCCCAGTTGAGTCCTGGGCTGGCAAGCTGAGTCGCTGGCTCATCAATGAAAACGGCCGCCGGAAAGTCAATGAGAATAGCGCCATGTCGAAGCAAAGGATCCTCGACATGCGAAAGCCTCTTCAAACGGTCGGAACAAAAGCGGACCCTCCCATGTTTCCAGCAACTCTCTCGCAGCTCTTGAGTTTAAAAAACGTCCGAAGGTGGGTTTATCCTCAATGCGGCACACGTGTTCAAGGCGTTTGTGGGGACTTGCCAAGCCCCGCGCAGTGAGGTCGTGCATAAAGTAGGTCAGCGTCGAAGACATGTCAATCTGCCAAGCCCAAGGCCCCAAGAGCAATCGACCATCCCCACCAGGCACATCTTGATCTTGATCGAGGTATGAACTTGCTATCAAAACCAGTCGGCTCCCTCCAGTGAGTGGCGTGAACCTGTTGACCGGGAAGTTGGAGATCTGCAAAGGCAATCAGATTCCCATCTAAGGTCTCTCCCAGAACTGCAGCCTTGGTTGCCATGGTTTAGGACGTGGCCAAAAACATCTTGATCCGTTTAAGTGGCCAGGTTGATACAAATGTCAGGCGAATCAGGACGAATGCCTTTTTGCATTTTGCCGTCACTCGAACGCGCAAGCTAGCTACCCAGCTTGGGCCCACAACTGTTTGCGATACTTGGCTCCAGTGCTTGCCACCTATCTCTCCTGGCCACACAAGTCATTCCTTGCATGTCCCCATCACCTCACAGTGCATCTCACAGAAGTGCATTCCTGGTCCCCCGGCCTCCAATTCCTGGTACCGGAAGCGAAGCTCATTTACGGCACACCAGGAAGAGTTGCAGAAGGGGATGAAGCGCAGGTGGCCTCCAGCTATCTGAAAGAGTTGAGACCATCCGCTTGCTTCCCGTGGAACCGCTGATGTTTGAGCAAGCTGCTTCCCAGTGAGCAAGGCATGGCCGAGACCTTCAGTAGGCTCCAAAGACAATTTGGGAGGTGCAGCATAGACGCGGTTCCCGTGCAAGTCTCCGAACAGAACTCAATTGTCATAGTATGACCAGCTACGAGAAGTGGGTGCCTAATAGAGACGTGTATAGGAAATGTAGTTGATCATACAAAAATAGTTGCCTGGGTACTCACATGCTCTTGGCGGGACAACTCGCCTGCTGCCTTGCTGCCTTGTCGCAGAACGCATTCATGGAATTGACAGTCTGATGTCAAGTCTCAAAGCCAGACCATTGAATGCGATATACCAACCGGTTCTTGTCCCGTGGGGCAACCCCTTCCCCCCTTCTTCTTCAAAACGATGCCCCCACCATTTCCAAGCGCGGCAACACAGCCAGCTGGCAGTGCTGCCAAGCTGCGGTAGGCCAACTCGTTGGGGGCATCCAGCTCTAGCGCCTGAGCTGGCCATGCCATGCGAGCGGGGTGGTAGCCCAAGCCCTCGACATCACTTCAAGGCTTCAAGCTCCGAACACGGCGACTTGAGCCCTTGCTAGCTTGCATCTTTTAAAACATCACAAATTATCTTACAGGTGCAACACTGAGCACTGCTGAGACAAGTCCACTAGAAAGTGATGAGCAAAGGCGTGGTTTGTTGTGCTCCGTTCACATCCGTGCGATCCAACAAGATCACAGGCTGTTGGCTGCGGAGTCGGTCCCCCAATTCGCGTTTGGCCTCGTCATTCAATAGTTGGTAGCAGGCCCTACGCCACTCAGACCCGCACGATTCGAGGCAAGTGCAAAGCCACTTCCCACTTCCGGAGTGCGCTGAGGCTGGCGCATAAAGACTCGAGTTCCCGAAGCCGATGGGCTGCGCAGCGAACAAGGTGCGCCTGTACGGCTGAGATCTGGCCTTAGCCTTGGGAATTCAACTCAAGGCAAGCATTCAAATTCGTCGTGAACAGGTGCATGAAAAAGCCCCATACAGGGCTAGAAAAGTGGTGGGCCCCCCAAAGTGGTGGGCCCCCCAACTGGTCGGCTTCCTGTTCCATGCAAGGGCCCTATTTAGAAAGCACCCAAAATGGCAAGTCCCGTTTGTTGTGGGAAATTCAATCCGTCCCCCATGCTCCTCACTGCAAACACAACACTGGATACGCCTCCTGCACATTCCAAACAGCCACCATTGCTGAAAGGGACCTACTTTTGGGACGTGTCCTCTTTGGGGGTCCACGAAAAATTGCTGTGACTGACCCCCCCCGGCGCCAGGCTGATCAACCCGCCGCCTGTTTTGGTCGAAGGAGGCCACTGGCGCGGCGCCGGGCTGCACAGAAGTGCCATCCACCGTGTGCCCTGGGAAGCTGGCGCCGGCCACCACCTGCGCCAATAATTGGCCATCGGCTATGTTGACGATTAAGAAATGATAAAGAAAACAACTTACTAATAATAATAATAATAATAATAATAATAATAATAATAATAATAATAGTAATGATAATAATAATAATAATAGTAATCATAATAAAACTATGACCTTCTCCCCCCCCCCCCTCCCCACCCCCCGGCCACAAGGTTTGCCACAAAAACATAGGATCCATCTTTGGCCCGCCAAACCTAACAACGATTGCCCCTTGGCCCAAGATCAAAATGAGAAAACCACAGACTTAAGTTACAATAGCTATTGCCAATGCTTCTGCCCATACTACTTCCCTTCGTACGTCTTGAGTGTCGCTTTTCCCAGAACCCACAAAAAGCCTTCAAAAAGCTAGCCGGAAACAGCAAACTTCTTGTTACATGTTGTTTAAAAGATCAAGGTTTGACAAGCTCACAAAGGGCACCCCCACTTCAAGGCCAGCCCCCCTAATAATCCCGGCACCCTCCAGCGCTTCAAAAGCAGAGTTTCCTTTCAGGTATGGTAGGGTGAGGTATGGGGAGCTAAGGCATGGCAAGGTGAGGCACGGGGTGAGGCATGGGCGAGGCGTTGAGAAGTGAGGCATGGGAAGGTCAGGTAGGTGAGGCATGGGGTGTGGTGGGGAGGGAAGTTTGAGATGGTCTCAAACTTTTGAAGTTTCGACTCCGGCGACTTGCAGCGGGCCTCGAGGAGAAGGGGGTGCCACTATCCAATTCGCAGTACAAAGAGCGCTCGCTGATTCACAACCGGCTTAAATACGAGTTCACACTCATGAGCCGGACAGTCGATTTTTGGTGGTACTGTCTCATATGAGGAGATCCCCAGATCCCCAGATCCCCGACTCTCGCCCCAGTTTCTGCAGCAAAGAAACGCCCATCAGGTCTAGAGTCTCAACAAGCTATCAACAACGTCTACCCAGGCAACTACAGTTGAGACGACCTTCAAATCGTTTCAAAATGAGCAAAATCCAATCTATCGACTCAGGCCGGAGCCAGCTGGGCAGGACTCCTCGCCGCGAGCGCGCGGCTATTGCCCGGTTCTTGGCTTTAACGTGAACACCTTGGCACGTTGTGTGATGTTCCGTGAATCAAGCTGTGGCCTCTCCCAAATAATGATACGTATGAACTCCTGAGTCCTCAACGATCAAATGCCTAACAGCTCGCGTCTGGTCAGCTTCTACGGACAGATTGGGAGACCTTGAGACTTGGGTAGGTCACGCTGAAGGAGTATGGGCAAGCAGCAAACATGATCCCACTAACTCACGACACGAAAGCCTATTCACCCCACCAGGCAAAAAACAGAAACAGAGGTGTCATACACAAGTACAGAGTTGTCGCAAAGAAGAAAGACAACTCCTGCGCACCGGTTGCTGCAAAGGAGGGGCGAAAGAACGTGAAAGGGACTCTTGGTTTGTAAATTTGACCAGTTCGGAGTCTGTGTGTGTAGCCCCAAAAGAAGCCAGCCGGAAACATACGCAAAGGGCGTCGAGTCAAGGACGCTCAGGGAGCGTCGAGCTGCAAAAGTTGCAATTGTTTGCGAGGTGCACAAACTGCTGACTGTTGCTACTGTCTGTGGTGCAAATTGAACGTGCGAGGACTGGCGGGGTCGACGCGCGCACTTTTGCTAACTTTGCTACGTTTTGGCGATGCTCGAGCGACCTTCTGCGGGGATCGGCGTGGACGATTTGCGAAACCTGAGTTTCAAAATTTTGCTCCGTGCGCGTTTGGCTTGTGGCTGCAAGCTGCTTTTTGGAAGTTGTCTCGTGCTTGGCGCACATAGATGGCTTGACGCGAGGTATTTAGACATCACATGTCGTGCTCACTATATTTTAGGCGTTCATGGCACCCCCTCTTCTAGTTGTTCATCCGCAGAGGGTCTCGCGCGCATGTTGAAGAGTAGCAACAGTCCCCAGCTGTGCACCTCAACCACGCCGATCCCTGCACAGTTTCGTGCGAGCACTGCAAGAAGTAGTTAAAGTCCTCAATTTTTGAACGTCGACCACACCGACCACTCCGATCCCTGCAAAGAGTGCCATTCTCGCAGAGTTCGCAGAGACGGTTTGGTCCCAACGCGCCGCCTTAAAGGAATAGGCTTAAAGGTTTAGTTTCGGATCCACATTTTTCGCCCAAGATTTCTCGCGCAAGCTTTGTCGTGCAAGTTCTCTCGTACAATTTGTCCTAGAGTTCTCGCGTGCATTTTGCTGCGCGAATTATCTTGCGAAATTTGGTATGCATGTTCTCTCGGCAACTTGCTCTGCATGCGCTTCTTGCTGCGCACATGCCCTCGTGCTACTTGCCTGCGCACGAGCCCTCGCGCTACTTGCTCTGCCTGCGCTCTCGTGCTTCTTGCTCTGCATGTAGTCTCGTGCTTCTTGCGCTGCGTGCGCTCTCGTGCTTCTGGCTCTGACGTGCTTCTTGCTCTGCATGTGCTCTCGGGCTACTTGCTCCATGTGTTTTTGCACTATGGCTGGCAATTCTACTGGAAGAACCCTTTGCAATGCCTTCGGGCAAAATGTAGCAACGGATGACGGCATGTGGTACAGTTGAAAGCAAGCTGCTTGCGTACGCAAGCGCAAACGACGTCACCACGCAATACCGAGCCTGGTCCCGGCAGGCACTGCATACCTAGCAGCGGTCGATCTATCTCTTCTGAGGCTGCCAACAAACCAAACAAGCGCTTATTCAACTTTGTGCAGAGTTGTTTCAACATGAGCCACCGTTGATGCTGTAAGAGGATATCGCCCTCTGATGAGGCTCGCTAGAGGCAGCTGTTCACAAGATTAAATCAGGGCTGGGCCCCACACCCTTGTACCTGCACACAATATCAGAGACCTGACTACACTGCGATGGCCCCGGGGTGGTGGTGAGCTGATGCAGAGAAGTCGACACTGAACGGGGAGGGCACTGGCGTATCAACGTATTGCCAAATCTTGTGTGGGAGATGGTGGTCCCTTCAAGAGGCAATTGATCTAGCAGGAAGCCTCCAAGTGCCATGTTCGAGGAATAGATTCCCTCTTTGCCCAGGGTGCCAAGAATTGCCGTCCAAGTAGCAAGCTGCCCGTGTAGGATGTGCCCATGATCATCGGCATCGCCGGCTCCTCATCCTCAGGCGTGTTCCAACGTGCTGTTTGCAGGGTAAACTCCCTTTTTGTGAGCAACCCAGGGGTCATCCACATTTGAAAGAAAGAACATAGCTGCATCAACTGCCTCATGATCTTATTCCATGTCAGCCTGCCGATGCTTGCAAACTGGAACACCGACTTGCCTGATAGTCTCTTCAGGTGCTACATTGCGCTTAGCCAAAGAAATTGCGCCGGCAGCTCGCCGAGGTTTTTGAAAGTGGGACGCCGGAACAGGACATCAGCCCTCCTAGCACCTCCTCAGCCTAGCAAGAGCAAATGGTTCGCCCTGCCGGACAGTCTGCCAAGTCCTGGATAATCTCATTTCAAAACATAAATTCCCCGGCAAACTCGCTCGTTCGCTCTGCAGCGGAGCGGATCTGAGGCCACTGCCATCAGCAGGCCCAGGATGGACTCATCCAAATCCCGGTGCAATGGGAAGGCAGCACCTGGGGCGCGGCTTGGATAACGCCACTTGACAAGTGGATCTTGGGCCAGCAATCCCGGCACAAAAAGCCGACAAAGCGGTGAGGGAGCCAAAGGCCGAACAAAAGGTGAAGGAGCCGGGCCGGGCCCAACCTGAACAAGATTTCAAAGGGTACCAGTTGGAGGCGCAAATCCTCACTTGGCCCCATTCCCTGCATGCGGGTGTGTCTTCTAGTTAAAAGCACCCTTTTGGGGTTATGTTCCGAGCAAACCTAAGCCACAATGGGCCTAAGCCCGAGCAAGGCCGTCTTGGCACCGTCAACGCGTCACAGAAACCCCCCATGTTTGCGAACCCGTGCGCGAAGGACGACCAACCGATGCGACCCACGGGGCCCGGGCGACCGGTGCTGGCCGAGCTCGCGTGGAGGCGCCACAGCCAGGTGCCCTCCTGGCAGCTCAGGCAACACGAAGAGTGTTGCGCCTTTCGGGGGAAGGACCCTCGGCTTTTCCAATGCTTTGCAATCCTGGTTTTCACATCCCAGGTTTTTTCTGGCTGCCGAATCCTGTTGCAATCCTGGCTGGTTTTGAAATCCTGGAGTGTCCACAGCCTTGAGTCTCAGTGTCTGAATCCTCTAAATGTATTTATGCCTGTTGGCGGTCTGTCAGCACATCGGTGCATGCAATGCATGCAATCGGCGTATTGGCAGCGTGCAATCGGTGTATCGGCGCATCGGCTCGTGCAATCGGCAATCGGTGTATCGGTGTGTCGGTGCAAGCCAAATTCTGGACGCTACGTTCGAACGCTCTGTAACATAGACAAGCCCTACATCAACGAGCCTGCTAGTGTTGTGAGCTAACAAGAAAATGGTGCATGGCAAAACAAAAAACCTCCCAGTTACTTGGTGATACTGATGGCGCAATAGTGGGTGAATTGGTTGGGCTTTGGATGGGTGACAACGTTGGAAATATAGTCGTAGGATACTTACTTGGCGAATACGCTGCTGTTGCTGTTGCTGTGGCTGTTGCTGCTGCTGCTGCTGCTGCTTTTTAAAAAATATATGCCGTTTTACAGTGGTTGGGATTCGCTATAGTGCCTACAATGGAAAGCAGCACAGTCAAGCCTGTGCTGGGGCAATCGACGGTTCACGGCAGGAACGGGACTTATCTTGGGAAGATAACCAGCACTTGTTCCACACCTACCACATACTCTTGCATCAATGCCCGATTTGCAAATGTCAGACCGGTTTCTCACTTTACTCTGTAGCAAGAGCGATTTTATATGAGTTCATCATCAAAATCGTGCTTGTGATAACCAGTTTCGGGGATCCTCCCAACATTAAACCAACATGCAGGGATTCATACATACAAGTCGAAGCGCCGGTAACAATGCAACAAAGTGTTGACTCCGCTTCTTTCGGCTGTAGAAAGAGTCTTAGAGAGAATCTGGCGGCTCTTCGAGCCTGCTATCAAAAGTATAGTTTTCCGTTTTTGTTTCAATAGGAGCATGTAATTTGTTGAACGCGTCCAAGCCATGCTGTTGTTGGCTTTGCAAAGGTTCAAGGTTCTAGCACATACTCACACCAGAGTACTAAGCAAGCTTTCTGGCACTCTTCAACCAGCCTCCAAGCATGCCGTTTCCCGATGCTTTTTGGTACCTGAAAGCGAACTGGAGACCTTTCACCACCTTCGAACTGTCTAAGCCAAACAAACTTGCGTGAAGTGCTGCCAACAAGGGGAAGGGTTCACCCCCTGTTGATAAGGGAACAACAAATCCTCCTCGTTGCCTACCACGTGCAGAGAGAGGCCTAAACGCAAGCATTGTTGAGGAGCATGTGGGAATGTATGTGTCCATGTATTCATCTACATAGAATATGCATGTATTTCAGTGGCGGTCATGGTCAGGGTTCCTGCATCCCCGCACCAGCTTCGCACCTGGAACAGGTCCCGGTGCTCTGAGCTTGACATCAGGGACTGCACCTCACCAGTCACGGGGCCGCTTGCTGCTTCCAGCATTGCCGGGATTGCACGAAGCATGTTCGCCAGCCACAAAACGAGCTGGCCCGTGTGAAGGGCGAAGGCTGTTACCCACAAAGCCCTTGAAGCGAGCGTGGGGATTGCTGGCACATTGAGATGCCGCATGACATCTGCGTCCATTTGTTGGTGTCCAGGAAACTTTGCTCAACTCTAAACTTTGAGAACTAAGCGCGTCAGGATCGTCAGGATGTCTATCATGCCAGTGCCATTCACGATGGCTAGGCAAGACTTGTATTCGAAAGCAAAATACGACCAGCAAAGCTCGAGCATGGCCACTGCCGTGGGCCCAGGCCATGACTACCTGCCACCACAGCGCACGGGCGCGATCGAGAACTCCTGGCTGCTTGGCAACCGGAAGAAACAAATGGGCATGCCTCTTCCTAAGGAAAACCAAAGAGTCCTCTATTCTTGGAAACGCCCATCAAACCCTAGCTGCCTCAAACTCCACAACACATCTACGGCATGAGAATTGGTTGATGATAAAAATACGCGAATGAAAAAGGGCATATGCTCTTCCTTGGCTTCGTTTCCGGCGATCATCTTGCAACCTGCTGTTTGTTCCCAAAGCTTCATCTGATATCTGATTGTTGTGCTGGTTCTTCTTCATGTGCCAAAAGCTGTTCGTGTGAGTGCAAAGCTGCTGCATTCTGTCTAAGAATTGCACATTGCGGCAAGGGCCCAGTGCCTTCATGGGTGCGTGCATTTTGAGTGTACCTTGTTCCCCTTGGTTTCAAGGGAAACAAAACCAAAACCGCAATCTTGCCCCCCTTTTTGACACATATCCAATCTGCAAGCCAAGTGCTGCATGCACCCGCCTTGACCAACAGCGCTGACCGCGGTCCAAGTCTCATAATAGCTGAAGATGCCTTCCTTGGGTCAGCTGCTCGGTGATGTGCAACACGCGCCATCATCACGGACAGAACAAAATGAAATTATAAGTTATCGTATGGTATTGCAAGACAGTGTCCATCAAAACATGGAGCAGACGGCTAATATGCAATGGTACGAGTTTACCACACCTACAGTACAGTATTCCTGTCCTTCCCTTTGGTCCTCCAAAACGCAGCAAACAAAACACTGCAGTGAAGTAACTCCTATCAAACTGCGCCAGGCACCCCGGCGGTGCTGCTCCCACAGAAGCCGGGCCTCAGGGATGAGTCGGAATCGCGGTGAAAGCAACGCGTCGGAATCCATACGAAGTCACCGAATGCTTCCCATCTTGCGGAACTGCCGCTACGTCAGACAAACTCTGGGGTATTCCTGTCAGATCCGATTCCGGCCAAAGTCCACGGTGGAAAACCCTCGCGAAGGCCACCACGTTTGCCAGCACTTGAGAACTCGGCCCCAAAGCTTTCAGGTGGCCAGGGGCACAAGGCAACATCAAAAATGGCCAGAACACAACAATCGATTTGGGTGGTTCATCTTCCCCGCCCATAGCTGCGCGGCAGAGGCCCCGGCAAGGTCTGGAAGTATGCCGTGAGGCTGCCGAAGTCCAGGGAGCTCCAGCGATCGCAAGGCCTTTTTTGGCAATGGCAACACCAGATTCAAAATTCCACCAATTCACGTGGAACCTGAGACCCGATCCCTTCACAATACATGATTGTCCACCTCCCCCCTGTCACGTCAGGTTTTCCATGTTACAAAAAGGTGGGAGGGTGTACATGTTGAACCTATGGCACATCCCATGGCCATGTTTCTTGGCGGTGCAATGTTGAACCTACACGATCTTTTTGTTGGCCCGGGCCGCTTTGGATTTCCCCAAGCCCCAAGCCCCGGGCGCATCGCAGCTCACTTCCTCCAGCTGCTGCCAGGCGCCCAGCGCGAAGGTGGAGGGCTGGCGGTGGGGATCCATTGTTTGTATTTGTTCCACCCTGTTCTATTTCATTAAATCCCCGGTACCACCAAAACTGCTCGAGCCGTTCAATGGAGACCACAACAAGTCCGGCTATATGTGATTTGCGATGGTCCTATTATGTACTATATGCTTATCACGTAGTCCAAGTGGTTGGCACGAGCTCGGTTGTTTGGGAAGAAACCTAATGCCAAAGCCATTGCAAACCCCACAATGCAATGTTTTCTGGCCGGTCTTCAGTTTTGCTTAGGTCTGATGGGTGGCTGCAGCACATGAGTTGCAAAAATAGTACTGTCTGTGAATCAAATATCTTGAACGACAATGTTGAGCAGCTTGCAGGAAGTGAACAGGTTCTGCGCCAGAACAGGCGTGGTGCGCAAATCTGCCCCGATTTATGGAAATGCAATGCGTACAGTCACAAGGACTGGAACCCACGGCGAACACATCTTTGATTGAAGCCTCCAAACCTAAGCTGCAATGGAACTTATTCCAGTGGCAACCAGAAGACCTTTGCCCCGGTTCTCCCCCCTTCCCGGCGCCTCTACGCAATAGCAGGCACCCTGCCCAACGAGGAAGGCCTCGTGAGCTGCACAAACCACGGCACCTCAGCGAGCCGAGGACTGGTTTGCCGCAGGCGGATCCACACTTTGTGCCCAAAGGTTTTGCTGGATGGCACAAGTCTTTGCGAAACGACGTCAGCATTTCCCACGAAATTCGTGCTAGTGCCGGCTTCACATCTTGTGGAATGAGATGGGCATAACCTGACGCACCTGCAGCGGTGTGCCAAGGCGTCAGCAATTGTCACCAAATGGAGCTGACTCTGCACGACGAGCAGCTAAACAATCCCTGCCAACCTCACTTTTCTGACAGAAGCTCGGATCTCACAAAAACTCCTCCTTTGTAGCTGCCGTTTCGAACATGGCAAGGGCAAGCGGCCCTGCGGCAGGTTTTTTCCAATAATTTGGTGTATGAGGAACGCATACAGGAAAACCACATTTTTTAGGGTCCCGAAAAAAAGGGCACACCAAGGTCGCCTTACCATGGTCAAGTTGCCCAGCCCTGTCACATGCACTGCTTCGAAGGCACAGTCAGAGGGCGATGAGGCTATTGAAGTAGTGTAGTTGAAGCCAAGTGCCTCACTGCAAGAGGGAACGCGGCACGGCTGAGTCGTGGAAAGCCAAGGCGTGTCGTGGTGCTTGGAGAAGCAGTAATTGTGCACTGCGCATAGTTGCTTCTTTTTGTGCAGGGCTCCTGCAAGTACCGATCCTAACAAAAACCTTGGGCAAACCATGATGCATGCCAACACGAATCTGAATCTGAGTGCTCGTGTTTCCTTCCAATTGCGTGAGCCGTGGATGCATCACCACGGAAGCACCCGTCTACTTTTCGGTCGGTAGACACGTGCCCAACACACTGTGCTTGCCGCATGGCTGTTCATGCTCATCTTTATATGAAATGTGCAAGTCTTCCCTTTGGAGCAATTCGATCCACAGCACAATGCAAGCTCTGAAAATCAGCCAAGTACCGCCGTACCTATCAAACTTGCCTGACAAAGGGCGTTGATTTTTGCCAACAGGGACCGCCGGGAAGGGCACTGGCAACCAGGACGCAATCCAACTTGCAGCATTCCTCGCCCGACACCATGTCCCAAGTCAGATAGCTCTCGCTACCCGATCCGGGCCCGCTGGCACCAGCAGACAGGTCAGCGGAGAAGCAGCCGCCAAAAGTGAAGGGCTCGATTGTGACCTTGGTGTTTCCAGAAATGTCTCGAAATCCGACACCGTCTTTGGATGATACGCGCCAACAAGAAAGTTGAAAGTCTGAATCTTGCGACACAGTCGTCTGTCCCGCTTTGCCCATTGCACGCAAACCGTGTGGAAACTGCCTTTGGCAATGGTCAATTATGTTGCGTGGAGTCCATTAGCCCTGTTCATCATGAGGAGTCAAGCATAACAACTAGTGCGCTTGTTCTGGGCATCTGAATTTACCTGCCAAAGGATATGGGGATGCTTCAAGTGCCTCGCAGTCGTCAACAAATCATGAGCACCGGTCAAAAACCCTGCCAGTGACTTTCGGAACAAAATCAACAAGTCGAAGCATGAGTCCCTGAAGCTCCAAATCAAGCCAAACATCCGTCACCCGATCTTGCCATCTCCCACAGAACAAGGTTCCAGGGCTCCCGCGTTCGAGACAGTGCCAGTCACATCGGCCTATGGGCTGTGAGAGTCAGCAAAAAACGGCTCGCACAAGGCTCTGCAGGTGCGATCTCGCAAATGTGGGCTCAAAATCTCCAGAGATCAGGGACCCGGTTCTCCTCCAAAGTTTGTCTCAAAATGCTGGAGCCCAGAAAATGGGTGATGCTCCTTTGGTTTACTGGTTTGCCCTTTAACCAACCCCAAAACGAGTGCGCCCTCACAAACACATCCACAAGCCCATGCTAAGCTTCCTTGCACGGAGATGTGCAAACAGGCGAAGCCCATGCTTCCTGCCTGAACCAGGTCCCGCCCTTCGAAGCCATCCACGTCGAACCTGCGAAACGCACTGCTTCGACGTGGCTCCAAGGCGGTGCGTGTTGCGTGTTGTTTGCTGCCCGTTTCTTGTGCAGCGATTGCAGATTGCTGAAAACTCAGATACGAAGTGGTCAGAGATAGCCCACTTTTGTATCGCAGAAAGGGAGATTGTCCAAGACCATGTCATGAGTCACAGGGGGATTGCCGCCTTGCATGTCCTCATGCGATCACTTGAGTTCTCCTTTGCTCATCCCCTTGGTCCTTTCGGACCCCCCCCCCCCGGTGTCCACTGGGTCTCCGCGCCCGAAGGCATAGGTCAAGAGAGCACCTCAGCTTACCCCTCGACTTTGGGTTCCAACCTGGTCACAAAGGTTGCCTAGGCCCCCCTGTAGCCCCCATAGGTAGCAGAAACATCCACGAAGATGGCCAATGGGCTTTTTTGACACTGCTCAGATGAACCAGAGCCAGGGCAGCCTTCTGTTGCAAACCAAAGGTTCACTTCAGGTTAAAGTGGTATTCGGAAACTAAAACGTGGCATTTGGAAACTGAAATGTGGTATTCAGAAACTTGTATTTGGAAGCTGAGAAACGTGGTCTTCGGAAACTCCGACAGAGGGATTCGGAAGTTGGACATGTTTTCTTCGGAACTAATCATCGGAAACTAAAAGGAGGCAATCGGAAACCTGTATTCGGAAACTGGGAAAACGTGGTATCCGCAAACTCGGAAACTGGCATGCGGAAAGCAAAGAACGTGGGTTTACCCGCCAAACTCAGCTTGCATGTTGGCATTGCGCAATCTGAAAACCATGCTCGACAGCTTATACTGAAGCATGCGGATGTCTGAATAACCCCGAACCGGCATGTGTGCAGTGCTTAGCAGGCGCACGTGAGCGGGCGTGCTGACCATTTGGCGGGCATGTGTGCAACGCTGAGCGGGTGAGCTGACCATTTAGCAGGCGTGTGCGCAGTGCTGCGCGGGTGCATGTGAGCGGGTGTGCTTAGCATTTGGCAGGCATGTGTGCAGAGCTGAGTGGTGCTGACCGGTTGCAATTCAGCAAGGATGCTTAGTTAAGCTTTGCTGACTCCTATCTCCTGTGAATCCGACTCTGGAAGTTCTGAATCTGACTCCTCCAGTTTCTGAATCCGACTCTGGCCAGTTTCTGAACCCGACTGTTCTGAATTCGACCTGGCAGAGTCTGAATCCCAGTTTCTGAATCTAACTTTTCAGTTTCTGAACCCTAGTTTGTGAATTTGACCAAGCTTCTGAATACGATTTTGTTCAAGTTCTGCACCAAGTATCAGTCCCCGGTCAAGGAATCGTGAGGAATGCAGTCCTGTCGTGAAATTTTCATGGTCGCCTTGATACTGCGGGAGGACAGTCTTGTTTGTCTTCAAGCAATAACCGAAACACAAACAATGTGGGTTGGATCAAGTCTGAGGGGGAACAAGTGTGTTTCTTTGTTCGTCGCCTCAAACTTTGAGCTCCGTGCCAAGGAGTCGGGCTCCAGCCATCTCACCTGAGGTTACAACCAACACCCCCGTGATTGTAAGAATCACAAGAGCAGCCGCTCTGGAGCTGAATCACTCCAAACGTCTGGGCATGCATTTCATCCCAATAGGAGACTTCCGCGCGACAAACGACAAGTACGCCGGCATATGGCGGGGAACCGGCACAAGCAGGCAGAGACCCCGCTGATTGCAAATAAAGTCGTTGTGTGGCGCCTCATCATTGGAGTCATACCAAGGATTGGCAAGGTGTATCGCCGCCGTATCTCTGGCATGTGGTGGCGTTGGCACGCCAGGTTCTTGAAGCTGGGAAGTCACGCTGTCTGACCCGTATCTGTCCGCTGGGCTTATCTGCTGCGCCAGTGGTCATCAGGAGGTCAGCTCTCACTACGCCGCGACATCAAGTCAAACAAAGGCATGAACTGCATGCCGCCAGGATCTGAACGTTGCATCGGAAGCCGTTCTAAGGCCTTTGGAACAGCCAAGAATTGAGCCAGGGATCCCTCCATAGCCTCATCACAGAGTCATGCCGACCAAGCATGTTCAACAATTCCAGCACGTCCCCTCACCTTCCCATTCTGCCAGGGTGTATCGCCGCCGTATCTCTGGCATGTGGTGGCTTTGGCACGCCAGGTTCTTGAAGCTGGGAAGTCACGCTGTCTGACCCGTATCTGTCCGCTGGGCTTATCTGCTGCGCCAGTGGTCATCAGGAGGTCAGCGCTCACTACGCCGCGACATCAAGTCAAACAAAGGCATGAACTGCATGCCGCCAGGATCTGAACGTTGCATCGGAAGCCGTTCTAAGGCCTTTGGAACAGCCAAGAATTGAGCCAGGGATCCCTCCATAGCCTCATCACAGAGTCATGCCGACCAAGCATGTTCAACAATTCCAGCACGTCCCCTCACCTTCCCATTCTGCCAGGGTGTATCGCCGCCGTATCTCTGGCATGTGGTGGCTTTGGCACGCCAGGTTCTTGAAGCTGGGAAGTCACGCTGTCTGACCCGTATCTGTCCGCTGGGCTTATCTGCTGCGCCAGTGGTCATCAGGAGGTCAGCGCTCACTACGCCGCGACATCAAGTCAAACAAAGGCATGAACTGCATGCCGCCAGGATCCGAACGTTGCATCGGAAGCCGTTCCAAGGCCTTTGGAACAGCCAAGAATTGAGCCACGTGGCTCCCTCCATAGCCTCATCACAGAGTCATGCCGACCAAGCATGTTCAACAATTCCAGCACGTCCCCCGGCGACGAAGCGGTGACATCGCTGGTGACAAGCGTTTTTTGGGCGAAAAAAGGCCGTTTTGGAGCGTTTTTGGACCAAAAAACCAAATGAATTAGGGCGGTGTAGGCATGTGGTGGCTTTGGCACGCCAGGTTCTTGAAGCTGGGAAGTCATGCTGTCTGACCCGTATCTGTCCGCTGGGCTTATCTGCTGCGCCAGTGGTCATCAGGAGGTCAGCTCTCACTACGCCGCGACATCAAGTCAAACAAAGGCATGCTGTGAACTGCATGCCGCCAGGATCCGAACGTTGCATCGGAAGCCGTTCCAAGGCCTTTGGAACAGCCAAGAATTGAGCCACGTGGCTCCCTCCATAGCCTCATCACAGAGTCATGCCGACCAAGCATGTTCAGCATGTTCAACAATTCCAGCACGTCCCCTCACCTTCCCATTCTGCCAGGGTGTATCGCCGCCGTATCTCTGGCATGTGGTGGCTTTGGCACGCCAGGTTCTTGAAGCTGGGAAGTCATGCTGTCTGACCCGTATCTGTCCGCTGGGCTTATCTGCTGCGCCAGTGGTCATCAGGAGGTCAGCTCTCACTACGCCGCGACATCAAGTCAAACAAAGGCATGAACTACATGCCGCCAGGATCCGAACGTTGCATCGGAAGCCGTTCCAAGGCCTTTAAAGCAGCTAAGAATTGAGCCACGTGGCTCCCTCCATAGCCTCATCACAGAGTCATGCCGACCAAGCATGTTCAGCATGTTCAACAATTCCAGCACGTCCCCTCGCCTTCCCATTCTGCCAGGGTGTATCGCCGTCGTATCTCTGGCATGTGGTGGCTTTGGCACGCCAGGTTCTTGAAGCTGGGAAGTCATGCTGTCTGACCCGTATCTGTCCGCTGGGCTTATCTGCTGCGCCAGTGGTCATCAGGAGGTCAATGGCTTTGAATGCCTCACGCTATGCGACGTTCTCCACCAGTCAAAGCTCTCCAACGTGCAACCTCCCACCTTACCAATCCTGGAAATCCTGCGTTGGCTTGCCTGGAGGCATGCGAGCGACACAACTTGTACTTCCTGGAAATTGCGTGGCAGGCCAGCCTGCTCTCTCTTCCTACAATATCCTACAATCTCTGGGTGAGTCGGTGCGAGCAGGCGGGCGGGCGAGCAGTTGTGCTTGTGGCCGCATGAGCCCTCTAGGTCATGGAGGCTGTGTGGCATGGCGAGTCATGGCTAGTCTGTCTACTCCGCTTCCTTTCCTCTGCAGGCCATCCCTGTCATTTGCGGATGGCCAACAAAGTCAACAAGCTGCAAAATGCACCTCACGGGCTGTTCCTTGGCTCCATCATGGGCAGCTGGAGGGCTGGACCATTCACTTGCTTGCTCTCACAATTACTAGCGTGACCTTCCCGACACATTCAGCACTGTTTTGGGTGCTGTCCTCAAGCAGTGTATTCTCCGGTAGGTGCTAGGTGCTTTACCCTAAGCGGATTGCAAATGTCTGAAAGGCTGCGTGCCCCAGCCTCTGGGAGCTCGCCATGAGCTTGGCCGATTTGTTCGTCTCGCACGGGTCAACTCGTTTTCCAGGTGGCTTATGCCATCTGCTTGGCCCTTTGTAGTGATAAAGAGGTGCAAGCGGTTAACTTGCTGGCACGTCCACCAGAAACTTGGTCTCCACCCAAATCCATCTACCATGCAGCTTGCTCTAGATGCCGTTTGCAAACAAAAAAAGCCTTCAGAAAGGGTGGGAATTGTTGCTGCTGCTGCTGAGTTGCACCTACCTTGTGCTTGAGATAGCGAGCACGGAGCATTGACTAAAAGCTTCCCTCCTGGCGGAATGGCATCAGTCCTGTGAATCCTGCCCAGTGCGCAAACTGCGCGCCAAACATCCTGAACTGCAAAAGGGTCCCGATCTAAGTCAGTTGACTGAGAACGGGAGCTTCTGAATGATCTCAGTTGTTGCAAGGGATCCTCCGATCAGGTTGATTTGCAGAACACATGAAGGGCTTGGAGCCAAGGACTGGGGGCCAAAGGGCTGAGGGCGGACTTGGAGCCATGTTTGTCCTACCGCTGCAACTCGTCCAACCCCTTATGACCTCCACAGCTCTGCAGTCTTTCAACTGACTGGTACGTACCTTAATGAAGCAGCGCTGCCCGGAGCACAAGTCTGCCACGCAGAAGCCTTTCTTCAAGCGGCTTCCCAGGTGCAATTTCTTGCTCTGATTGACATGGGGCGTGTGTCGTATTTGAGTTGTGTCAAATTGCCCAGGAATCTCAAGACGCGAGTCAACTAGGAAGAAACCCCTCTGCCCGGGCCACACTCTGGCTCCTGCAACCTCCCGCCTGCAAAAGCGAGCGCCATGACCACGCCTCGCAGCAAAGGTTGTGGGCCAACTCAAAGAGGAAATATTTTGCTTTGCCCTTTGTGAAAAGTCTGTGTCTGCAGTCCCGTGCTTTTGCACGGATGCAGCATGGGACGACCGGTTTGTTGAATTGATGATGAGCCTGAGGTGTGCTCAAAAATGTGACATTCCACACAAGACGCTGTCAAGAAGCTACTGCAAGTTCTGGCTCTGATTAGTTTTGGCAAGCAAGTCCACACAACAAGTGCATGTGCCGTTTTGCGTGCCCGTCTGTTGACTAATCAAGCAACGGTCACTGTAATGTCACATAGCGCACAGAGCCCTCCAAACAGCTGGATTCGGGCGGTTGTCTCAATGCAAAATACGGGCCATTCCGAGAGACACACACATACATGTTCATACATGCCCCTGATTGTAACCACCTCTTCGACCAAAAGAAACACAAGTCATTACATCAGTATCTTACAGCCTGTCATTCGTCGCGTCATATGTCATAGTCCAAACCCCCTGAGTACGGAGGAACGCCACACTGGATCTTTACGTCGTGGCCATGAAAAGAAAAAAGATCGAAACAAGCGATGACTCTTGTTTCTACTGAGCTTTGACCTTGCACAGGGTCTTTGGTTCAGCCGTGCATTGACTGCCAAACCAGCCCAAGCCACCGTGCCTGTCACAAGCATTAGACGGTTTAGACGGCCTGAGCTGCTTCCCCAACCACGGGATCCCCGCCTCGACCACGCTCTGCTCGGTGTGGCGCCGCCGGAAGATACCACGGCTTAGGCCGAGAGTCAATGGCAACAGCACACTCTAAGCAAAAAAATGTCAACAGATCGTGGTTCCACAAACCCATGATATAAAAGAACCTTGGCCCTCCGATCTGACCCGATCCTACTCGGCTAAGTCTAGCACACAAGCAAACATTGGCAGGACATGCCGTTGCGGTGGCTCGGCAAGCTGAAATGTATCTTCAGCTGCAGGATTGTAGTCTTTGCTTTGTCAGCTCAGATTCAAGATGTAGACGAACTGTTGATCAAAAAACACCAGGATCAGCCCAAGAATGGCAGGCCCAAAGTCCAAATCAAAATGAAACCATTTCTTCGTCCGTTTTCGTCTTCCAAAGGGACAAGCTCACGCGCAAACGCGGCTAGCCTTCCCCCAACCCCCCCGGCTAGCCGCCCCCAGCCACATGTCGGGCTCCACCTCACCGCCCTCAAGCTCAGGCCTGGGGGACGCAGATCACGCGCTCGGCGATTGCACCGCGGTGATTCCCACAAAGGCGTTTGTCACATTCCGGCTCACTTTGGGCGCCATGCACACATGTTTGCAGTCTAATAATCCTCACAGCTCTGCAGCAATGCTTCTTCCTGCCCCAAATGAGGCGACGTGTTGGCAAGCAACTGCCGGAGCTCCCGGCTTGATCCTCAAGTCCCGGCCAGGAGAGATGCGCCGCCGCAGGCTGTAGGAGACTTTCTTGGGCGCCTGGCAAGGGCAAGGCAGCTCTCCGGCTGAGGATCCCCCAGTCCTCTCGGAGACCTGGGCTTTCGTTGCTTAAAAAAACGAAGTGACTGGGCCAAACCCCAGGTCTGCTGTGACATTTGGCTTGGAATGAATCCAACATCGTCAGAATCATGCCGTAAAACCATTCAAGCAGCCGAGAATCAATGCGCAAAAAGACTCTTGGGAAGGACTCACTGACTCACTGCCTGTCGGGATGAGCCACGACATCAGAACATGAACCCCGATTGTTTGATCCCCTGTTCAACGCCACTGCCCAGGAATCTACGCGACATAGAAAACGTGCCTGGGGACCAAACAAGTGAGTAGATGCGGCGAGTGACAGTTTTGAGCATTCGCCTTGGGCTCTCAGCTGTTCTTTGGGGAAGGCTGTGCCCCAAAATTATGCCCGGACCGAGTTTGAAACTACTTCGACACTGCACCCGCGATTTGCCTGGAGGATGCCTTGCCACTGCTTTCAACTGCTTAGACATGCTTGAGTTGGCAAACGCAGCCAGGGGTCCAATGCTTGAAGTGTAGCAATTGGCCACAGGCACTTCAAAAATCATCTTGAAATTGTGAGGTGCACGCACGTTGTTTCTTGCATTGCTTATGTGAAGACCATGCATCCCATGCCATGCACCTCCATGGCATTCTCAAACACAAACATACAACCAAACCCAAAGGGCCATGGGTGCTGGCAAAACAGGGAGCATTGCAGATCCTCCCCATCCTCCTCTTCTACTTCCACCAGCAGTTCTCGCAAAACAAGAAACAGCAAGAAAGGAAGAAAGGAAGAAAGAGAACAAAGAAAGCAGAGCAAACAACTCCCGTCCTCCCGTCCTCCCGTCCTCCCGTCCTCCCGTCCTCCCGTGCTCCTGCCCTTCCAAGCCCGAGAACAGGGCCTCGAGCTCGGGGGGCTCCCAGGGCTTGAAGGTGCCCAGGTCCCGCAGCACTGCCTGGCAGCTCAGCCAGCTGACTGTTGGATCCACTTCGATTTTTTGGTGCCCGTTGCTTGAAACGGGAAGTTTGCCTGGAGGCGTTGTGACAGGAAAGGAATGGAAACCCAATGTGAAGGCTGGGGCCAAGGTTTGTAGTGGGTTTGTGGGTCGAGGATGGGCTTGGGCTTGCAGGGTATGCTTTGGGTGACTTTACTGTATCTTCAAAGGAAGCTGTTCGGGCCTAGGGTTGGCCTGGGAAGGCACTCCTGCGCTTCCATCCTTGCCTTCCCTCCCTTCCTAGTAGTTTCTTCCTCCTTTCTCTTCCCTTCCCTTGCCTCCGCTTCCTTCCCTTCCCTTCACGTCCTTCCTTTCCCTTCCTTACTTTCTCCTTTCACCTGCGTTTCTTTCTTCCTCCTATGTATGGAAAACAGTTGCGGCTGACAGTGATGCCCAATCAGTATGTACTGCTCTCACGCCGCTTCATGTTGATGCCTCAACCTCAAAAGGGGAGATACCCGTGTACCAACTGAAGGTTCCTGCTAGCCCATAGTTCATCTATATGCTGTACTATGAAACTCAAGTACCAACTCCCACAAACTGGAAATACTCCCACGCTCAGTTATAGCTACAGTTTCACCACGTGTCATGTCAACTTACGCTCATCAATGACCTAAGTTATCCTCATGCACAACTCAAAGGCACATCACCATCCATGCACGGCATATGGGGTGTGCACGTGTTTGTTGCGCCAACAGCTGAGTACACCAGAGCCTCCACCGTCTCGATGACCGCCCGCAGGTTTTGCCACCTGAGCACGATACCTGTTCATTTCATGGCTTTCACGTGACGTGAAGTGCTCTAGCCCTGCTTCTTGGAACTGAGTTGTAACATGCGCTCCAACACGGCTTTCTAGCCAAGCTGACTCCCCCACCTGGGGTCCTTTTTGTGCATGTCCGAGAACCTGCGCGTGGGCACGCCATAGGCTGACCTCAAAAGGCCTCAACCAAAGATGTTGCACCCTTTCGGAGGCCAGCTCAATCTCTTCCAAAGACTATGGACCCCAAAATGTCCAAGACCTGTGCGATGCTTCAAGCGCCTGAAATGGGCCAGAAACGGGAAACCACAAACATGCAGAAAGCATCGGCAAAGCAGACTGTTTTCTTCGCGCCGGCGGCATTCTCATCGCAAGTCGGCAAGCTTCAGCGGCTGCAGAAACGACAATTCGACGCAGCCTTTCACGTCACGTCCTGTCAAACGGACGCCTCCCGCATGAGGCAGTGCTTGCCAGCGTGTCGCGACACAGACAAAGTGGACAGAACCACCAACCGGATTCTGCGCATTAGGGCTCAGTGTTGCTGAACTAATTAAGACGCTGTCTGTGCTTATATGTAGCGCATCATGGTTCGCGGCCGCGGTATCATCATGATGCTGCTATAAATCTTCATAATGCTGCTTAATTCATTGGGGCGCTGTTTGTGCTTGTTTATGGCACAGAATGCTTTGTGGTTGCGCCCGCTCACAGAACCTTAAGCAGGCAAAGAGATCCCTGACCAGCACCCAGAACCGCACCACGGCGCCAAACAAGCACCACCTTAAGCGCACCCCAAACAGCACCCTGCCAAGCACTTGCACGACCAACCTGCCCCGACCTCAAACAGCTAGTCCCGTTTTAGAAATAAGAACTAGAAATCCTAATGGCTTTGAGCTATCAGGGAAAAAAGCGCGCGCAGTGTCACGTCACACCCCAAAATAGCACCAGCACCCCAAACTGCACGCCTAGCACCGTGCCGTCAATCTTGCAAAAATGCGCCCGCACCGAGCACCACCCCGAAGAGCACCCCCAGAACAGCCCCTACACCAGCACCCCAAACTGCACGCCCCCTAGCACCCAGCTGTCAATCTTGCAAAACACTGTCCCCTCTTTATTGAAGTCAGAACACCTATGGCATTCAGCAATGTGGGGAACTAGCAAACCTCACCTCTTCAGAAGTAAGGACCCCATAGCTGAAGCCGTCTTGGGGAAAACTCCGGAAGTGGCTGGAAATTGCAGCAACGTCCAAGTTCAGCTTTTACCTGCATATTCTATCCCCGAGTGGTTCCTCTGTTGTTTTCTAAATTGATTCCAAAACAACGGCTTTCTTGGAGAGCTTGCTTCAGCTACGCCAAGAACTGCGTGCAGACTGATGGGAATTCAATGTCGGGAAGTGACTGCAGGCTGACTACCTGCAGTCATCCACTGAATCACGATTTGGAAAGGCCAAAGTGTAGTGTGGGCAAAGGCCAACTGCCCTTGTTGACTCCAGCTAAACCCCAACTCAGGAAGCTTTGCAGGGAGACCAGAAACTTTGGACGCATTCATGCGAGGGGAATTGCTCCGATTCCTTTTTCCTTCCCCTGCCCGATTCAGGATACCCTCCTCGCGGTCCGGATCTGGGCGCAGGGGCCTTGCGACTCGCACCCGCCAAGAAAGCGCCAGGCTCAGGGGGTGTCAAGCAGCAAAACAAACCCCCACCCTGTTGGCTCTTGGGTGCCATGGGCGCCGAATTATGATCGTTGCTTTGGGTGACCTCTTTATATCTGAAAGCTCCTTGGCAATCCTCGATGCAACTTTGGGGGCTCGGGCCTACCTCTTGTTCCGCATCACCTGACACCTGAAAGCTTCACGTTTCAATCAACCTTTCATGTTGACGTACAGGACAACTGTCCTTGCACCCCGCCTCCGGGACAGGCTTATGCGGCTACCCTCCATCTGGAGGATCCGCACTTTAATCTCTTGCCCCACCTCCAGCTCTTCGAGCTGCCCCTCGGGTCACGGTTCGCAGAACCAAAGTGCACCAAGCTCCGTGCAGCTGAGAAAGCTCATAAAGCTCGCTTGGCAAACTTGAACACAAAGCTCCCTGCGGGGGGAGATGATACCGATAGCTTGTTGAAACGAGCTCAAGACCTGTTTAACGTCAAGGCAAGAACGCCCAGATCTCAGCAATTACTCTATGAAACAATGAAGATAACACCGCGGGAGCAAAGAGAGCAACCGTCATGCAAGCTAGCGGCAAGATGGGACGGTCGCATGGGACTGGCAGGGTCCAGTGCGCGGAGGGCTTGGCGAGAGAAACAACCGCTACAAAAACAATGGGCGGAAGAAACCATTCAAGACGCTGATCGTTATTCACCATGTCGTCGGACAAGATCAACAGAGCAAATTGAACACGCTGAACAGTTGTTTGCTGCCGAGCCACTTCCACATCAACCTGGCGTGATGCCATGAGCAGCAGTCAGTACCCCATCATTGGATCTGTGGAAATCGTCAGATTTTTTGCTGCAAATCGAGAGTCCAACGCTTTTCTTGAGGGAAAGCCATCAGACCTGTGCGCTTCCTATGCAACCTCTTCAGTTAGGGCAACAGCTTCCTCGAGTGAAGGGAAACGGATCTTTGCCCACAAGCAGCTTCCTGCTGACAAGAGTCCTTCAGCTTGCTCTTGTGCAGGAGACCAGAGGCACAACGTCCCTGCAACGGCACAGGCACAAGATGTCGCATTGAGTATTGTTGTTGCCGAGCACAAATGAGGACTCCAAGAGCCGGGTACCTCCTGTGTTTCCCCTGGAAACCATCCACAACAGTGAGCCCGGCCAAATGAGGGAGCGCACCAATCCGCCTATGCCGCACGAACCAATTGCTGACTTGACTTCAGCTTCAGTCAGGCACTGATGAATCTGGACCATGCGAGTGGCTCGAGTCATTGCGTCAAGCCTCCGAAGTGGTGAGGAAAGACTAGATGTAAGCTCCGCTGCCGAAAGGCAAATAGCCATAACACGGTCAAATGTTGTGATTAACGAGGACAGTCAAGCCGACCGTACACAGTGCTCATGTGTCTGCAATACAACTAGGTTGCTTCTGCCTTCCCCCCCCCCCGCCTTGGTACTGTTAGGCGCTTGGATCGATACAAAGGCACCGTAGTTGGTGACTTCCTGCCGTTTGGGAAGGACCGCAGGCTGTTGGTGTTGATTTTCTGATCCTTTTCGCTGCCATCTCAACGCTCAATCCCTATTGGTGTCCAGCAAGAGCCAGCCTTCACGATGCCCTGCAGCCAAACATCTGCTGAGATGTTCCGGAAGCCCTCAGAGCCACCAAGCGCTGCGAGAACAAATGGAATTGCCAGAAATCGTGTGTTGACTTCTCGCAGTTGAAACCCCCAAATTGGCCCTGACCCTTCAATCCCTCGGATCCTGTCCGATTCCAGGTCAGGAGTGAACCTCGAACCTCCCATCCAGCTGACCCTATCAAGCGAAACACGGCTCACTCACATACTCGACCAAGGCTCCTCTTGTCTGAACAGCAGTTGTTTCCGGAGTTCCAAACCAACATTATTTGCTCAGTGAGCAGCTGTCCAAGACTCTGAGACCATTCAACAGCCATGTCTTGCTAGGATTGCTCCACGGGGAATCATCCGAGTGAATGCCCTACTATTTCTACGTTCCAATCAGAAAGTGTTGCCATCTCAGCACAAGGCACGTCTAGCTCAGGCAGCATGGAGAGTCGCAGCCTGCCGCCCTCAACTTTCAGCACTCTGACCTGCAAGGAGGAAGTCGCGAAAGGGCTGGGCCTTTCTCACTGGGCACTACTATTTGGGAGTGACTACCTCACTCCTTGAAAACCAACATGAAGCCTAGAACGGATTCTTGCGGAGGAAGCCCCTCTGCAAATTGCCTGTGTCTTCAGAAGGCGTCATGTTAGTGCCCACAACCATTCTGCATTGATCAGGCTGTCCACAATGTGCGTGCCATCACAGCGGAACAATGTAACGACCCCCTCAGGATCTGATTGTCTGCTGCAATTGGTGGGTGTCCTGTTCTTTTGAAAGATCCAACAAATATTCATTGCCTGTTTGCAATCAAAAACCGATCATGACATGTGGGCATAAAACGTGGCCTTGCAAATCTGCAATGGGCTTAATGGGAAGTGAACACCGGCCAATGGAAATCCACAAAGACGAGCTGCGACGACCAAAGCCAAAGCCCCCCACTCCGGGGCGCGGCCACGCCTGCACTTCGTCACCCACTGCCAGCACATCCTGCGGCAAAGCACATCTGCGAAATTCAAAACCTGCCTCCGACCGGTCCACTGACCACAGACCCCTCGCACTTTACCACCTTACCTGCAAATGATCTCTGGATAGCCATGAATTGGGTTCACTCCGCGTCTATCCAACGTACTCAATCCCGCAACTCTCCAGCTCTCGAGCTCTCCTTCGGCGACTGCCCGGGCTCCAGCGATGCATCCTGCTGGATGCAACACCGGACTGTAACACAACACGAATTTTTCATCCGGGTTGCAACTCTGCGGAGGATGCCGCGCACAGCGATACCGCCGCCGGGTGGCTGCACCAGGATGTAGGCACCTTCCTCCAGCACCTCCTGCACCAGTCCTGACAAACGGCACGGTCAGAGCTCGCTGATTTCTGAGAGCTGGGCTGGCAAGAAGTTTAGCCGCTATTGTGTTCCCACAGCTCCATTCCGAGAAATGTCATGGCGGTAAAGGTGAAGAAGTTCAGATATCCCTCTAGTCGCCAGCGCACGTTCCTGCGTTGCTGTGTTTGATGGATGCCACCCAATCATTCGCAAAAGGAGCACATGGAAAACCAAATCGGTGAAATCGGCGAAGGCCACCAGCTCAAAGGCCATCAGTCGCACAAAGGCCATCAAAAGCGCTCAGTTCTGGGGCCGGCAAGCCTCCTCTTGCTGCACGCCAAACCGAGACTGAAAATCGAGGGTTGCTGTCAAGTCCTCGCAGCTCGTTGGGCCTGTTGATCATTCCACCCCATTGCTTTTTTGCACAGTTGGGTTTGGCCGTTGCATGCCGCCTTTGCAAATCACAGAAGCCTGAGCTCATCAACCCGCCACAGGTAGGTCAATCAAGAACAAATAAATGAAGGAATCTGGTTGCATGTGTGAGCTCCAACATGGCTCTCACATGCGCAAAAGACTTGCCCCGAAAATGGGGCAGGCCGGGGCTTGGAACCCTGTAAAACACACACACACAAGCAATTTGCCCCTGGCAAGGCAATGCCGCCCGCTCGCCTCCCAGGAACTCTTCGCCGGTGAAGGGCTGCAATTCTTCCGGGGGCAGCAGATGCGGCAGCTGCGTCCACGCCGCTTGGCCTCCTGAGCCACAAGCCGCCAAGAGTTGAGATTGAGGCAGATTGGATTGTGCCGGAATCGATACCGTGCCCAGAGGAGCAAGAATCACTGACCCTGAGCGCGAATGTCACTCTCCTGGGCTATCTTCATAGAGCTGCACTGTGATGTTCTCCCCAACCTTGTCTCAAAGCGGTTCTCCCACCCCCATGAAAGCAGCACAGCCACAGCCACGACCAATGCTGTCCAAGCATTTTTTGTTTTCCTGTGCTGTTGGAACTGGGATGGGTGAAGATTCGATGCATTGCACTTGCGAAAGCCGCCAAGACAAGCCAATGCAGTCCAGCAGAAGCCAGGAGCTATCCCCGTCTCGGAAGCCTGTTGCTGTGACGGGTGCCGCTCTCAGTGGGCCTAATGCATCCATGGCTCTTTGAACTTCTGTTGAACGTCATCCTTGGTCAAGCGGCCGGAAAAACAAAACAAGCTCTCACAAGTATCCGTGCGGGACAAATGCCCTAGATGCATCTGTGCAAGTGCAAGTCAAACCAAGACACTGCGCTGCAGCTCAAACAAAGCAACGCAAATGGAGAAAGAGGGAAGGCCAGTTTGACTCAACAGTATGTGAGGTTTCTCCGTCAACCTTGGGTGACGAGTTCCCAGATACTTTGCTCAGGCTCGAAGAAGTCATCGGCCATCTGAAACCGATGCAGCAGGCCAGTGACCATCCGGCCATCGGTGGCCGGAGCCAATACGAAAGCACCTGCCGGCCATTCCAGACACGCCGTTCTTTCCAGACATGGCGACGTGCGAACTTGTAAGTCACAGCAATGAGGCTTTCAAGGCGGAAGAATCAGAGTCAACCATCCTCAAAGGTTCCATCTCAGGAACCATCTGAGAACGCAGTCACGGCAATGTGAGTCAATCACGTCGCACCTTTCAGAAACCATCTTGCCAGACCCCCTTCGCTTTGGCATCACTGCCGATAGATTGCTTTCAAACCATAGAAGAAGACTAGTTTCGTGCACAATAGGGGGTGAGGAAACGCTACGCATGGCACATCTTCCCTTCAGTAGAGTGTACAACCACGCTACAAACCGCTTGGGGAAGCTGAATTTCTGAATGTTCCACGGGTGAAACCCCCCTCTCTGAGCCCCCGGCCGTAGGGCATCAATTTGGTCTTAGTGGGTCGAAACCAGATTTGGAGCCTCGATCACCTCAAATTCCTATGTCATATGTTCCGCGGCGCGTTGAGTTTAGGAATAGCGATAACCCATGGAAGCACAGTCAACATGCGCACACGCACTGGAAACTGAAAGGACCCTTCTGCTAGTCACTCGTGTGGGATGGCTGTTGGCTAACAAATGGACCCCACGTCGAGTTTGCTCACGGTTCCTTGCAGCCAAAATGCCACACGGCCCTCAAGCCAGGTGTTCGGACCTCAGCATGGGGAGCAGAACCCATGGGTGACTTGGACTGATGGCTCGGATGCTTGTAGGTGTCTTTGCCAATTCCACGAACACAACCATCAACCAACAAATCCTTCCCAAAAAGCGGCGGACATGCAAAACTTCAAGGGACATCCCTTCAAATTGGGCGGCTGCTCTCAATATTTGATCTTGGGAAAAGTGAGAAGGACCTTTGAATTCAAGAAGGATGTGGGGACGTGTTGGTGAGAGCAACTTGTTGTTTCGACAACCTGTTCTGACGATACCAGCAACATGAGTGGATGTGCAGTTGAACTGTGCTGGATCCTTTCTGACCTCACCGGAATGCAATCTCCGACCAGAAAGCTAGACGACTGGAATGCGACAGGGATCCGTAGCCTGTGCCACCTAGCTGCGAACCCGCGCTTTCTCAATGTCCAGTCTCAAGGAAAGCCGATCACCTGAACAGCGCGATCGATTGGCCCAACAACTCAGAACGGGGTCAAATGCCTGATGCCACATGACAGCCAACCGCAATGTGGCGACGAAGTGTCAACAAGTCCTGTTCTGTCTTCTTGTCTGTCTATATCAGACCCAGACATTTCTCAGCTTGCTACTTCCGGGCTCTCGAAAACAGGGTCCTTTGGCGGTAACTGCTCAGGCTCAGGCGTTCCGTGCCGAGTACGAACACTTTGACCTCTTCCCCCACAGAGACAATGTCCTGTGCATCCAGCAGCAAATGTTTTGGCATTGGGTCGCATCTTGCATATGGGGTCTGTGATTCAGCAAGTCTCTGGTTGCAGCCACCGTCTTTAAACATACAGTCCTCTGCAGAGTTGACAAATCCGCCTCGGCATCCACTCCGAGCTTTCAAATCTTGGGGGCGATCGGCTAGCATGAGAAGTCCACGCTTAGAGGTGCATCGCTGGCCCAAAAACTCAAGCTGAAGCCCGTGGAAGTTTCTGGTTCATTCGGCATCAGGGGAATGAAACTCCCGCCGAGAGCCAGGGATGGCTTCTCGCTTCATCAGCCAGGCGGCGGCCCATGTTGGTGATGTGGATCATCCTCAGAGCCAGAAGACCCCGGCCACGTTACCAAGACCGTGCAAATTTCAGCCAGACTGCGCAAGTGTGGATCCCTCCATGCTGGTGCTGCGAAGATGCCCTATGTACGGCGATCCGCCATCTGGGGATTGAACTTTTGCAAAGGCGCCAAAGGATTTGGTCCTCGGGAGTCCGATGCAAGGCCCCCCTCAAAACAAGCCAATTCCGTCCCTGACATTCCCTGACCCACTTCATCACAGCTCTTTGGGAGGGAAACATCCATGGGCCCGATTCCGTCCTGTTCCCGGCTCAATGGCTCTCCAAGCGTCTGAACAATCGTGGCGCTCAGCGGCTGGTCCGGCGGCACGCCCTTGAAGGCCTCGCACCCCGCTTCCAGAGGGCCAGAAGGGCCAAAGGAAGGGCCAAATTTAAGCAGTCTTCCAAATGGGAAGGAGCGCAAGTGCCGCACCTCTGGTGCCAAAATCCATTTAGACGCCCAACCGAATTCTAAACTTCAGCTTGGCCGCTTCGATGCCTCCAAGCCCGCTAGATCCTTGGCGAATGAGAAAAACGAGAACAGCTCTCGGCCAGCAATCGTCTCATGATCCAAATCGGAAACGTCTGACTGCCTTGTAGGGGAAGCCTGACAGCCGAGCTCGGAAAGAAATCCATTAATCGACCCCGCACCATGCGACCCCGGCAGCGCAAAGCCAATCAACCTCCGGCTAACTGCCACAGAATTGGAGGACAATGGAATTGGATCAAAGCGAACTGGGAGAGACATGAGCTGGATCGCATCTGGGCATAGGGACTCCGCATGATCGTGTCGTGCGCCCATTGACCCGAGCAGACGGCAGAGGCAAATGGATCATGGGGAGGAAGTTATGCACCCATCCGAGGGCGTCATGCATCCGGGGAGGTCTCTGGCAAGCCCTCTGGCTACTTCCTTTTGCCCCTGAGCTGTTTCGGGAAAAAGATATACCAGTGAAATTTCAACGGTGTAGGCACATCCTCACCCATTCCAGCTCCCGGCCGGGCGTCGGATGGGATTCATGGAAAGGGTGAGGTTGTCGGCGGTGGAAAGCACCCGAACAGTGACATATTGCCCAACTTCAACCTCGTCCAGGATCCCCTCAGGCCCCTCCTGACATTGCTGCTAGACACGGGGCTTTGCAGCTTTCTGTGGAACAAGGGAATCCCCCTTTAAAGTGACAAAGCAGTCGTGGAGACGGCTCACGTTGGTATCACACAAAGAGTGATGTCCACAACGATGTGGCAGACTGCCGGGCTCCACACAATCTCGGGTTTTGGCCCTCGTGACGAAGCCCTTGCCGACTTCAGAATAGGGGAACACAAGGCAGTACGGGTAGTCTCTCGAGATCCCACTGAAGTTCCATGCGACTTTGTGAGCTTTCCGCAACAAGGTCCAGTGACCAAGTTCCTTTTGGAAATCCAGCTTCCGAATTTGAAATTCAGAGATAGAAACTCTAAAGCTCCACACATAGAGGCCAAGCAATAGATCCCACACAAATAGAAACCATCACTCCGTGCAAAAGGAACCTTTATGGCTGATGTGTAGCTGTCTGCTGCCACAACTCTTGGAGACCGCAGTTGTGTCTTGCCGAGATGAGGCCGCTTGCGACAAAGCTCCCATGATGCTCCAGCAGAAAAGATGCCGACCACTTTTTGTGCAAAGCCCCGTCCTTCTCAGTTGGCACAAAGCCCTCGTCTTCTGCGCCCACATCGACAAAGAATCCATTAGAGCACGTGTCTGTCACCCTGCCCTGCAACTCCTTGCCCTCCTCCAGGTCTGCAATGTAGTGCCGGATCTTCCGGAGTCGCCAGGCAGTGAGAGGGTAGTGGTACTCATACCCCTCCCGGTCAAAGCGTACCATGAAGCTACCATCCGGATTCTGGTATTCCACCACCGCAGGGTACCACCTCCCGTCATCTTCGCAGCGGACCTCCACAATGTCGCCTTGGTGCTCGGGAGGCGAGGCAATGTGATTCTGGACTTAGAACAAGGTGTCAGGAATCTCTCACGAAAGGGAAAGGCATGATGCACGTTTGATGACAGCTCAACCCAGAAACCGGACGTTTCCGCCAAGTCACCCAGCTTGTGCTGCCGCCTTAGCAGCGGGCCACTCACTCAGTCTCAGGTTGCTAACGACAAGCAATTCGTGGCCTCAACGGGGCATCTATTGTACTTGACAACTTGCGCCTTTCTTGCTCTTCAGCTTTACCTTCGGACTTTGAATGCTCATCGAACCACGGCAACTGGGATCACTTCGGGCAACGCACCGCTCAAGTCTGGCTGTTTGCACGCGCATTACTCCGGCTGGACTTTACATGCTGAGATCCAGTCAGGAGCTATTTCATATCCCTGGAAATCCCGCCAACTCTTGAGCATTGTTTGGTCTCTGGTTCTACCCACGTGCAAAACATACCAAGAAAGAAAGGTGGCCTCTGATATTCCATCTCTCTCAGTCATTTTGCCCATCTGCCCGAGTCACGCCTCGGCGCGGCAAGGCCGCAATAGTCGAGGCCCTGGCAGTGGAAGTCAAACCGTCACCCTGTGATTCTCCCGTGTCTTGCCTTCCGTGTTGCCTGGATCCGATCGATGCACACCATGGTGTTCCGGGGTGAAGGGAGAGGTGTCAAAAACATTTTTTGGCCTATGTCCATGACAGGGACGAAAGGAATGCTTGTAAGCAGTGACCCAGAATGAATTTAGCCTGCAGATTCCGATGACGTGGGCCTGCAAAACGTGGGACGTGTCTCTATTCAGCATTTCGCAATGTTGCTGGGCAGATCTGAAGGAGCAGGTGGGTAGCATCACGCCCGCTTTTGAAAGCGAGTGGCTCAGTTGCTGCGGCACAAATGTTGGCTGCAGTCGCAGCAGAAGCAGCCAGCATGGGAGTGCCCATAGACGCCGAGGCATGCATGTGACGGGCGAGTAGAGTGGCTTAATTTTACAAACATTCGATTGCAATCAATCTGTTGCATAAGGCCGGCCAAGTCCTTCAACTCCGTACATTCAAGAGCTTGGTCAATTGTCAACTCGCAGCCGTTCTGTATTCAGCGCGTG